GCGAAAGAGGCCGATCCAGCCATTCATTCACGGAGAGAGAGAGAGAGAGAGAGAAGCCAGCCATCGTCAGCAGAGAGGAAGCCACGAACAGGCCACACAGTCCGAGAAGGAGGTCGTGGACGCAGGAATGTGTGATGTGTATACACCTAATGTGTGTTCGTATGTACATACGTCTGTATTGGTGTACAGAGGACATACAAATACGGACACACAGAGACAGACAGACAGACAGACAGAGGGAGGGAGGGAGGGAGGGAGAGAGGGAGGGGGACGGGAGAGAGCCAAACTGAGGCAATCAAGGCAGCAGAGACCCACCTGTCATGAGCACATGGCCATCCATCCCCACACCACGAGCAATAAGGAGGAGTGGAGCGCATCACTCCAGTCAGTGTGTCTGGCTGTGCACACGAAAGCCCTCAGCAAAAGCGCCTCGGCGACCGTACCGAGTGCCATGCAGAGGGTCACAAAGATATGAAGTCAAAGCGACACGCACAGAGAGAGAGGAAGCCGCCCCGACCAACACTAAGGCAAAAATGACTGACTGCATGGCCGCGGTCTGTCTGTGTGGTGTGGTGAAGTGTGAGTGGATGGGCAACGAGTGTGAAACACACACTGCCATGTCTGTCTGTATGGAGCAAACAATGCGATGAATGGATGGTCTTGCTAACACCACTCCCTCCCTCCCTCTCTGTCAGCAGGTGGTCCTACATCGATTGGGTGCGCTCCTCTGTCCTCTGAGTCTAACACACCCCTCATTAAAAGATAGATGAGTGCTTCAACCGGTCAATTGCACCCGTGCGCACACAGTCGGCCCCGCCAAAAATGGACATCCAATCCATACATACAAAGCTCTAACGCGTGTGTGTGCTGTACACAAAGAGTCGACGTATGGATGAGAGAGAGAGAGGATGCTCTGTGTGTGTGTGTGTGTGTGTCGGAAGACAAGGTCAGGGACGTGCTGCGTCCCTTCCTGGTTTCCCTCCCTCGTCAGACAGTCCATATGGGTCTGTGTGGCGCCTCGCACTCTCACTGCCAAAACAAAACCCGTGTGTAGACCCACACGCAGCGGCTCGGCTGGTGGGCTGCTCAATTCTTCTCAACATGCGGCCACACTCTCACACACCATAGCCCCCAACAGCCAGCCAGCCATGAAGGCCATCTGTTCTCCACCCCCACGCACCGATGCACGTATCATCACACTGTCTGTATGTGGGCACTCGACAGCCTCGACAGCTCTTCTTGCCCCCATTGCCGTGTCCGCCTTACGAGTCACTCCGAGTACTCGTCGCTACCTGATCAACACAGACACACACACACACACACAATCAGACACAAGTGAGGCAGATCGACAGGAGCCAGGGAATTTGTGCTGTGCTGTGATGCGTACCTCCGTTGCCGTCTTGTCAGTCGTTGGGATCCATATCATCGTCATCGTCATCGCTACCATCATCAACGTCTCCATCTGCACCATCCATCCATCCATCCATCCATCCACACGTGTGTGTGTGTGTGTGTGTGTGTGTGCATTGCTCTCTCCCCACCGTCATCGTCGTCATAGTCATCAGCCTCACTCTCACCACCGCCGTCCTCATCTACACCACCGCAGAAACAGAGAAGGCACATCCATCCATCCATTCTTGTGTGTGTCCCTCCCTCTCTCTCTCCCTCCCTCCCTCTGTCTGTCCGTACCATCGTCACCGTCGTCGCCCCCCTGCTGCGGCGGCTGCTGTGGCTGCTGCGGCGGCTGCTGTCCGTCGAACACGTAAGGCCCCACAGCCTCCAGCACCACACGAGCCAGGGCGGTCGTCTGGGGGAAGCGGCCCTTGAAGGCACCACCCACATGCACACCAGACACAGGCGCCTCGGTCGTATGGACACTCACCCACACTGCAGACACACAAGGGAGAGAACATTAGTGGCACGTGACTAGCAGAGCTGCCTGTCTGTCGACCTGACCGCTGTTGCCATAGTCGCTGATGTGAATCCATACGACGAAGGTGTGGCTGCTGTTGGTGAGCACCAGGTATCGCTCATCACCGTCCTGGCTGAATGTGGTGGTGCATCCGTCCATCAGTGTGTGGGGCGACTGGTTGAGGAGGGCATGCAGACGACCGCCGCCAACATACCTAAAGCAACAACACCACACACGCACACACAATCAGACACGCACCCCTCTCACCCACTGGTGCCATCGGTGGGTACCTGTTGAGGAGTCTCCATCTGAGATTGGTCTGGCGAGTCTGAACGAAATGGTCGAGGATCAAACGCTTGGCGCACGACGACGCCGACGCATAGGTGAAGCCGAGGCTCGAGTAGATGCGGCTATGCACAGGAGGGTGATCCTGCAGTCGGTGCTGCCGGTACAGGTGGCCGGCAGGGAGGGGCGGGTCCACCTCCAGCCGGAAGCCGGGCTGGTCGTTGATGGCCCGCACCTCATCATGGCCATGGCGGAACAGCTCCAGCCGGCTGCCGTCACCGAAGTCCACATGACGCCCCACCACCATCAGCTGCGCCAACACACGGGGAAGCGACACATACGCCTACACGCAGGACAACACATACACACATGGATGAGCAAATGAGGGCCATTTCTCCCTCCCGCCCTGTTAGTCCCACCGTCTTGTCGGCGTGTTTGTTGATGTCGGCCGCAGTGAGGCTGACGGGCAGCGTGCAGCAGCCACACTGGCTGGCCCACCGCAGCACCTCAGCCACCTCCTGCCACCTCTGCTGCTCCACCATCCACATGGCCGCCAGCAGCAGCCGCGCCTCGGTCACCGACTGCGGGTCGAAGGCTATCACGGTGTCCAGTTGAGTCCCATCGGCGAGTCGAATGCGATGGAGTGACCAATTCAGTCGGCTGCGGAGCGTCTGGGCAGGGAAGTGGTCATTGCCGACGAAGCGGGCTGCGGTTCTGAGGCGGCCGATGTCCTTGGCCTCGTCGTAGAGCTGGTATCTGTCGTCGCGGTGAATGAAGTCAAGGCACTGGCCGTGGACGGACGGCGAGGCCTCGTCGGTGGTCTTCCGCGGGACGGTGTTGCCCATCGCCCGCACTCACTCGCCCGAGGCGAGTGTACAGCACAGATGGAGGAGCGGAGAAGGCCGAAAAGGAGCCACAACCCGCGCGCGTATACAGATCTTCGTGCTGTGTGCTCGTCTCACGTGTCCGCGGTTCGGAGTGTGCTGAGGTCGCTTCCCCCTCTCAAGCCTCTTGAACTTCAAGCTCGCATTTGCTTCCTGGCCTTCGTTTCGCTCGTTTCTTTCTCTGGGTGTGTGTGTGGTCTCCCTGGGAAGCGATTCAGATGAAAAAATCGCCAAACGAATTTGCCAGGTTCGAGAAAACCGGCAATTCGATCCTCACTCGATCCAATTGGCAAATGAGCCCTTTACGGCGATTTTGGCGCCGCTCTGAGCTCATCACAAGCCTCGATGAAGGCCATGAGTGACGCGGGGCAGGAGTTTGGAGAAAGAATCATGCGAGCTTCTGCAACTTTGGAGAGGGAAAGGTAGCTATCTCTCCATCTATCTATCCTATCTATCCTTCGTATTCGCACAGTACGAAGAAAAAAATCAGCCTTTCAGGGATGGAGGAGAAACTGCCCTCCAACGTCGTTCACAAAGAGATCACAGTGGAGGCGAACATATACACCGAGGGCGAGGGAGAGCCGGAGAGCGAGTGTGTTTCTGTGCCCATTGAGCTGTCGGAGGACTTCGAGACTCTGACGTAAGGAGAGAAGGAAGAGTGGAAACGAAGGAGAGGACGCCTGTCCGTCTGTCTGGTTCTGCAGCGCGTGTCTGCAGTCGTGTCTATCGAGTGGACTGGACAAACCTCTCTTGCTTCGGCATCCCATCACTGGCGAACCGCTCTCAGTCGACCTACCCGCATTCAAGCAACGGTACGGCGACACACACAGAGAGGCAGTCAATCCATTGACACACACGGATCTCAGTCATGGAGTGGTTCCTTTGTCTGGTGTGAATGTGTGCAGGACATCGCTGCTCGAGCTTGGCTTTGGCGCCCAGACGAGTGATAAGAATGCGGTCGTCTCGCTGGAGGGGTGCGTGGCGCCGACGGATCCACTCGACCCCTCCCTGTGGCAGGAGTCATGCTCGAGCATCACCATCAAGACCCCTACCCTCCAGCGGGCGTACCGCCTCTCCCCCTCCCCCACCTCCCCCATCCTCTGCTGGGCGTGCGGCACCACATGCTCCCAGCTGCTCGCCATGACGCAACCCGACGCCCCCCCGCCACAGCCAGACCCATTCGCCCCTTCGTTCCGGTGTGGGTGTGCGCGTGCTGCCGATGGTACGTGTTTGTTTGCTGAGAGGAGCTGCAAGGAGACGGCAGAGGTCTCTCCCACCATGCAGGCGCTTATCGAGCGTCGAATGTTCGAAGGTGAGTGGCTGCGTGGGGTGGCGTGGCGTGGGTGGATGCACACGCCTGTGTGTCGAATGGCCAGAGTGGGATAAGGCCAAGAGCACACTCATGGTGTCCGAGCCCGCCGAACAGCTGCACCGGCGCGTGCAAGGCGACCTGCGGTCCTTCGTCAACAAATACCTCAACAAGGACAACCAACAGGCGGTACGTCAGGCAGCCCGATGATGCGTGCATGACTGTTGATGTGGATGGGGATGTGTTTGCGTTTGTGGCTGTGATGTCCGCCTCCCCAAGGCATTGAGTGTCATTCCTCTGGCGCGACTGAGGGAACGTGCGCAAGAACTCGCCCAAGGTGAGAAGCCAGGCAAATCCCTCCCATCGTCCAAAAGTCTCCAAATATCCCCTTCTCACCCACGCAGAGCTCTCCCAGCAGCTGGCGTTGATCAAGGCTCTCCTGGAGTGGTTCAAGAAGGATTTCTTCTCCTGGGTCAACACCCTGCCGTGCGAGCGCTGCGGAGGCAAGACGGCATCTGCTGGTGCGACCGAGCCGACCGCTGTTGAGAGGATGGAGGGCGGGGCGGGGAGGACTGAGCTGCACAAGTGCCAGGCATTGACATGCGGCCACACTACGCGATTCCCAAGGTGACGTCACGGCAACACACATGGATGGGATGACAGGAATGATAGATGGATGAGTGTTTCTCGTGTTTCCTTTGTCTGTCTATAAGGTACAACAATCCGGTCAAGCTGCTGACGTGGCGGAAAGGGCGGTGCGGCGAGTGGGCCAACTGCTTTACGCTCATCGTCAAGGCGCTGGGGTACCACGTCAGACTCGTCAATGACTACACCGGTCAGTGAATCGTTTTTTGTATGCGACACACGCACCCACATGAGTGGGTGGATGGACAGATGGACGCATGTGTGCGTGTGTGCAGATCATGTGTGGGTGGAGGTTTGGGACGATGCCGAGAAGCGCTGGGTGCATGCAGACTGCTGCGAAAACTGTCTAGGTCGGTCAGCAATCTCTTCGTCGAGACTTAGACAGCCTGCCCATGATGTCTGTGCGTCAAGGTCTGTCTGTCTCTCTGTCTGTCTGTGCAGACCGGCCGTTGCTGTACGAGAAGGGCTGGGGCAAGAAGCTGACCTACATCATCGCCGTCAGTGAGGAAGGATGCGTCGACGTCACGCCGAGATACACCCAGAACTTCCAACAGGTGAGCCACACCCACCCGCCCACGCACCCAGCCATTCTTGTATGTAGCTATGTGTCTTCTGTCCACTGTCTATGTCGCCCCTGTCAGCTCAATCGCGGTTACTGCAGTGAGGTGCACCTCGACACCTTCCTGCAGACCGTCACCATTCAGCAGCAGGCCGCCCTGCCAGCTACTACAGAGCGAGCAGCCGCCATCAACCACTGGTGGCTCGACAGACAACAGCTGCTGCACTTCCTCAAAGATCCCACGGTAGGCACACCACCACACACAGAATTGCACAGCCCATCCATCCCTCTGTCCGTTGGTGTGAACACACACATTTTACAGGCCAGGGAGGGCGAGAGCGGCGCTGCGGTGTTACCTGGGCGAACCACGGGATCGGTGGAGTGGCGTGCTGCCCGCGGGGAGCTGGGCAACGGAGCAGCAGCAGCAGCTGCTGCGCAGTGTGCGGTTCCGCCGTAGGTATCTTGTCCTGATATCGATCTGTATTAGCCGTTGACTGCGCGTGTGCTCGTGGGTGATAGATGGGCCTGTGTATATGACTACATACCGTGGGGGCGCTGAATGGGCTGCCGTCTGTGTCTGACTGTACAGAGTCATGTGCGTGCGCTGACTCATGTAATGTACCCGACAGACACATTCTCTCTCGCAGTGTGTGTGCGTGTGTGTGGGAGGACTGATAAAATGACAGATGAATAAATGACCTTCTGCGGCGGACGGGAGGAGAGCCATCATTTCCACTGAATGAACATACCTAGTGGGGGATTGGGAATGGGAAGTGCGGTTTGGCACACAGATGAACGCTTGATGTTCAAGTCTGTAGGACTTAGGAAAGTCTCCCACAGCACACATAAAGAGGGAGAGGCAAGCACACGACGGGTGCAGCCAGAGTGCGAGTGGGTCTTGGGGGGGACACATGATACACACCCGCACCTACGACACACACAGACAGAAAGCCGAGCAATGGACATCGGTGGCCGGATGCATTGCCCCACACACAGACGCAGACATGGGGAGATGGCCATTCGTTAAACAGACATCCATCACATCGCTGCCAACAAGACACAGACCACGTCAACATCCGTCCACTCGATCACCCGGCCATCGGTCAAAAAAGAAACACAGACCGACGACCATCGACGTCACCTTCAGAGACATACATGACACGTCGATGAAAAAAGGAAGGGCGCCTCAATCAAGGCAAGACAAAGCAGCCGACCGAAAGGCATGAAACTACACACCTTTGTATGCGCTGCAAAACGCAAACAAGCATGTGACTGACTGACATGCATCTGCACATATATACACAGCCACCGATCGTTACATAGGGTCCCTCCCTCCGTCCCTGTCCGATTGACCGGGAGGAAAATAGATAGATAGCCAGCTAGCTACTTGTCAATCTAATCAATCCACCAGGAGAAAATACCACAATTCCCCCAGACATACGTAAGCGGCCAAGAGCGTGCCGTCAAACGACCAAGGGGGGCCCTCCCTGACATAACACACAAAGCCATACGACATCTTTTCTGGCCTTCACTCTCTTTCCCCGCCCATGATTCTTCGTTCACCTCATGAGGATTGCTCGCGGCCGTCCCGATCTTCCGCCGCACATAAATGGTCCATGCGAACGACCCGACTCGACATAGAACTGTCACAAGAGTGAAGAAGGCAGACACGACGACGAGTATCGGATTGATAGCCTCCGGCGCCCAGACGATTGTCAGCACCAAGATGGGCACTTCCAGCAGGGCAAAGGCCGCAATCCAGATGTGTTGGCTTAGTGAGGGAGAGCCACGAATTGCATAGTGAATAAATAGTCAGACAAGGTCAGCTACCGATAAACCCAGGATGACCAGGCCGACAGCCACATAGCCTCGCTCTTCTCTTTCTAAGCCTTGCGTTTCTTCTTGGAGACGGCTCATCGTAGTAGTCAGGCACTGATCATCCCACGGGAATTCGGCGGAGCCACAAATAAACATCGCACGACGCCATACACTGAACACCGGCGTTCGGCACAACATCAATTCCGCCCCCACGGCACAATCAGTAATGAAGTCGACGGCCATCCCCACGACGGCCAGAAGTTTGTAGAGACGAGTGAAGGTGAGAAGGTCCACCCGCTTGAGCCACCGCTTGGTCACCGACCGGTAGAGGAAGGGCTCTGTCTGCCGAGCCTTGGCTATACGCTCGGCCGTCGCCGACGGTGTCCAGTCTGCCCGGCGGCCGCAGCATGAGAGACGGTCGTCATCGACGTCGAGATCCCTTCCACCCGTCGGTTTGGTCGATGCACGGATGGCGCGTGGCTCCGAGATGACAGTAAAGACGGCGAACTGCAGAGAGACTGCAACAGCCACCCACACCAGTGTCCCTAACCGCAGGTCGAAGGGATCGGGTTTCACCGACAGATAAAGCGCAGTCGAGAACAAGCTCCCGGATGCGACGATGGTCAGAACGATAGAGAAATAGATGAACCATCGGATACCCCACCGAAAAGGCGGCGCGCACAGACTTCCCAATCCAACGAGGACCATCACAGACGGCGGGGCCACTATGAGACTAAGCAAGTAATGACTAGATCGGGTGGGATTGAGCAAAAAGCAACCGTCACCGTGCTTAAGGATAGGCAAAAGCAACAGATCTGGATCGAAAAGTAGGTAGATGATGCCACTCCACCACCAGAGTTCGTAGATCAGGACAAGGCCGATGACGAGGAGAAAATGCCTCAGAGGGTAGTCCGTCAGCCATAAGGTCACACAGCCAATCCGCAGCACCAGAAAGCCCCACAGATCACCCTCCTCAGCCGAAGCATCCCCGTCGCCAAGCGGAGCCCGGCAGTCCACTGCAGGGGTGCAGACCGATGTCGAGAGGGTGGTGGGGATATCTGAGAGCCGAGCGCCGCCCTCGCGATCTCCTTCAGTGACATCCAATTCAGAAGCTGATTGTCTGAGGACGTCTTGGGGATCAGCCGGGGCAGGAGGAGCGACGCTGACGAACGTGGGCGGTCTCATGCCTGCCTCTACTCGGATGCGGACGATTTCGGGAGGAGAGCCGTGACAATAAAGGTGATGCTTGACGGCCGCTGCTGCTGATCCGCTGTGTAGTGAGTGAGCGCATAGTGGAGGGAGATCTCACCGCTCACTGCAAATGATCATCTCCCTCTCGGAGTCACCACATTCCGTAAAACCTTTCCGCAGCAGTGGATGATACTATCGCATTGATTCTTAGGAAGACTTGAGGGAAGATGGCCAGCGGTGCGTCCAACGACGTGACGCAGGATGTGATCTGGCTCAAACGGGACTTCAGGTGAAGAAGGACATCACAACACACAACCAACCAGATGGCGACGCATCATCATCATCCGAGGTGTGTTGTGTGCTGTCAGGTTGGCGGACCACCTGCCGCTTCACCATGCTGGTCTGAGCAACCACAGAGTGTTGGTGCTGTACGTCTATGAGCCCGAGGTGAGATCATATCATCAGGGAGGGAGAGCATGTGATCTGCATGACCATAAGCCTGGCACTCGCTCGCTCGTCGAGTGACCTGCATGAAGTGGCTCATGCGATAGCGCACGTCAGAGAGAAGATGCTTCTTGATGGCTTGATTATCATTAACACTGATGCACTCAAGGAGTATAATGATCTGACACATCCACTGTGCGTGTCTGCCAGGTGATTGAAGCTGAGGAGTTCCACCCCGCCCATCTGCTCTTTATCAACAAGAGTCTGCAGGACCTCCACGGGCGCCTCATGCAGCAGTACGGTGTGGGTGTGCACACTCGAGTGGGCAAAGCCACTGACGTGCTGGGGGAGGTGCTGGCGAAGGTGGGAAGATTCCGGCTTTTGTCGCACCATGAGACCCCGGTGGCGACACAACGGGCTCGCAACACGGCAGTGAGGGAGTGGTGTGGACGCAATAACATCAGATGGCACGAGTTCCAGCAGGTCAGCCCACCAACGGCACGTACCGAATCAGAAAGGGCGCACGTCAGCAAATGTGCATCATCTGCTGTGTCCAGACTGGAGTGATTCCCGACCTGAGTAGCCGCGACGATCGCAAGAAGCTCTTCGACAAACACATGAACGGTAGAGCTGCGATGGCACATCGTTTTCCACGTCCACGCGTTTGTGTCTGTTGGTCAGCTCCACCAGTCCCCCCGCCCGCCCGCCTCTCGGCTGTGGAGATCGATGACCCCCAATGGCAGCCCACGGGTGTGTTCCCCTCCCTCAGTGACCTGGGCCTTCCTGAGTGCACTTTCACTGAGAAGAAAGTTGGCGGAGAGACCCTCGCACTCGCCGAGCTGGGTAGGGATGTCGGGACGTATAGATTTACCCACACACGCTGACGTGGTGCCTGGCTGGTTTGTGCAGAGAGTTTTCTGTTTCGTCGCGGCGTCAACTACGCGAAAGACCTTAGCTCACCTGTGACGGGATGGGACGGATGCTCTCGGTGAGAACAGACACACACATGGATGTCTTGACTGCTGGCTGATCAGCGGACACGAAGCATGCCTCTCTCTCTTTGGGTGGGTAGGCTGAGCCCCTACCTGACGTGGGGCTGCATATCGCTGCGGACCGTCCTCTCCCGTACCAAGAAGCGCATAGATGCAGTAAGCCAGACATACACGCACGCACAAGAATCCACGCTCTGCCCTCATGTTGGCTTGATCGATTCATACATTCATTCACCAGGTCAAGGCCCGCCGGGCAGCGGACAGCAAGAAAGACGGCAAGAAGGTCGCTCCACCCTTCGCAGCAGCAGCACCGGCATCGTCAGCAGCATCAGAGGGAGGAGGAGGGGGCTCATCATGCAGCGGGCCGGATGTTGACCCGTTCGACAGCCGTTGGGGGTCATCGCTGTCGGCCTTCAGGCAGCGCCTCCACGTACGTGCACCACTGACAAGCCCAGTCACACGTGAGTCGTCACCTTTCCTGGGTCTCTCCTTGTGTGTGTGTGTGTGTCTGTGTCGGTGTCTGCGACAGTGGCGTTCGCACTTCATTCAGAAGATGGAGGACGAGCCAGAAATCGAACACAGTGAGGCGACCACACATATGCCACACACATACGGGAACGACTTGTGGTGCTCTGTGTCTCATCCGGCAGGCAACATGTGTCGAGCGTATGACGGTGTGCGTGAGGGGGAGTTTGACGAGGCCAGCTTCGCCGCCTGGTGCGAGGGGCGGACGGGCTACCCCATGGTGGACGCCTGCATGAGGTGCCTGCACCAAGGCGGCTGGATCAACTTCAGGTCCACATCCACACCCACACCGACACACCAATGCCACCTCCCTCTCCCTCTCTGTTGCGTTGAATGGTCAGGATGCGCGCCATGTTGGTGTCCTTCGCGGCCTACGATCTGTTCCTGCACTGGCGGCGGCCGGCGGTGTTTCTGGCCAGGCTGTTCCTCGACTTCGAGCCGGGCATCCACTACTCACAGTTCCAGATGCAGAGGTGGGCAAGGACCTCTGTCACACGGTGCATCCCTCTGTGTGACGTGTGACGTGTGTTGTTTTCTTGTGCATGCATGTGCAGCGGCACCACGGGCATCAACACGTTTCGCGTGTACTCGCCCGTCAAGCAGGCGCAGGACCATGACAAGGACGGCACTTTCGTAAGGCCTCCTCGACGAATGCACTGCGATGGGTGGACGGGGGGATGCACGGCCATGTGTGTGTGTGTCTTGCTCTGCCTATAGGTGCGCAAGTATGTGCCGGAGCTCGCCAATGTGCCGCAGCGGCACATCTATGAGCCATGGAAGATGCCCAAGGTCGTCCAGGAGCAGGTACACACACAGAGAGAGCCGCGTGCACGCAAAGCGGTGTGGCGGGCTGGTGCATGTGGTGCAGTGTGGCTGCGTGATCGACAGCGACTACCCCTCGCCCATCGTAGACCACAAAGAGGCCACCAAAGCCGCCATGTACGCGCCTTTTCTTGCACGCACAAGCACAAGCACACGGGCTTTCTGCACGGCACTCATCTGCCGTCTCATCGGCTGCTGGTTGGCCAGGTCGAAGTTGGGCAAGGTGAAGCGCAGCGTGGCTGCCAAGGACGAGGCGCAACAGATAGTCAAGAAACACGGGTCAAGGCGCAAGCCAAATGGTAAGTTAACACAAGAGGCGTCACGCTTCTCCCACCATGTGCACGTGTCTGGACATCCTTCAGGCCGCATCAACAACTTTTTCGACCGCTTCAAGAAGCAGCCCGAGGCCCCCATTCCTTCAGACCAGCCATGCGCCGCTGACGAGCGGATGGAGGCGGAGGCGGAGGGGGAGATGGCGGAGGAAGAGCAGCGCGGCGAGGCCCCCGAAGACGAAGGCGACCCGCCCGCCCCCTCCCCCAAGCGACACAAGAAGGCAGACGATGATCAGCGGCACAACGAGGGGTCCCTGCCGTCTGCTGCTGCTGCTGCTGCTGCTGCCGATCAGGCCCCTGACAACCACGGTGATCCTGGTGGTGGAGAGGCATCGGCTGTGGAAGGGGGAGGGAGGCACCAGCGAAGGGCAAACAGAGGGAGGGGTGTGGGTGTGGGTGTGGGTGTGGGTGGTCAGCAGCGGGTGTTGATAGTCCAGACGCGGCGTCAGGCGGAGGCCTTCAACGAGGACTTCTTCCGGCCGCTCAGGACCGATGACGGCACACCGCTGTGCATCGATGTCGATGACGACTAGAAGCACGTGACTGTGTGCGTTGCTTCTTGCACTTTCGGAAGTGAGTGTAGATACGATAATACCATGGCACGGTGTCCCGTGCAGTGTTGAGTTGTGTTGTGCTGTGTTGCGCGGCGCGGTGCAGTGCAGTCGGCTGGTAAAGGGATACCTTGTGGTGAATGAACGTATGTATGCTAGATATCGCTCGAGATTCTCTCGTCATCATACGGCTGTGGCTGGAGTGTGTTGGGGGAGAGGCGATCCCCCAACACACACCAGCCGCACACGTCTGACGACGAGAGAACCTCTCGTCGCATTCACTGCACACGCACGCTCAACTGATATCAGTGTATGTATGTCACACTTAACGAGTCTGGCTCTCCTCTTGTCCTTCATCAAAGGCCAAAACAGCGGCTGCCCCTCCCCTGCCCTCCCCGCCGCTGATCCATCCATCCATCCATCCAGCCATCCAGCCATCCATTTTGATCACCAGGAAGACGCGGACACGGGCAGCTGCGAGGTGGGCGTCAGCCACAGCTTGTAGTCCCTGAGAGACATGCAAGGACGGAACAACACAGGGAAAAGCAACAGAGGGTGACATGACAAGGGACCTGTTGAACCATGGCCGCTGGTCAGCGCACCGCCCCGCACCATTTGTGTGTGAGTGTGGAGACGTCGCTCAGCCGGATGCCCGCGGATGTCGCCACAGCATATTGCACCTGACAGGCGGAAGAAACAGCCGCATGAGATGACGAGGTGGTCGGTGGCTGGTGCCAGTGTTGATTGACTTACGGTAGAGAGTCCGGTGCAGTCTCTGTAGAAGAGGGCCATGAAGCACTTCTGCAGCAGCGCCTTGGCCTCACTGCACACACACCAGATGTCCACACACAGTGTGTGGACTGTCTGTCTGCAAGTGTGTGTATGGCTTCTGTCCTCACTCACTCCTCGGTCATGTCTGGTCGGTACTCCTTGCGCAGCAGCGGGATGGCCAGATAACTGCCGAACCCTGCAGCCCGGCACACACACACACACACGCATAGGATAGGCACTTACCAAAGCGCGGATGGATGGATGGATGGATGGACTCATTCCGTCACTGACCTGATGCAATGTAGTCCTCCGGGAAGGTCGTCCCATACAGGTCAATGTAACCCAGATACCTGTGCGCACACACACACACACACACAGAGAGAGAGAGAGAGAGACATACATCCCATGGTCCATTCCTCTCCTCTCCTCTCTCCGGCGTCATGTGTACGGCTCATTGGAGGTCTTCTGCCATCCTGCCATTATCATCTGGTTCCAGTAGGGGTCCAGCCGGCTCCGCTGGCCGTAGAAGGTGCGACCTGGGACGCGATGACACACACACCCACACAGCCACACAGACAGCCGCATATGATCCATCACCATCACGGTTGCGCCACACGTGAGCATACCGAGGTATGCAGCGATTGACGACGGCTCGCGCGAGCAACCATCCTCCTGCACCCAGTCCCTCGTGCTGATGAGTTCAGTACACACAGGCGGGCAGATCAGATGAGCGGCGGGCTTTTCTCATTGTTTGATGTCGTCTTTGCTGCGTCTGCAAACTCACTCCATCTCCTTGAGGTCTCTCGTGAGGTACTGGAAGTCGCTGTACTCGCCGCTGGCCGCCACCACAGTGCGGTCGCCCACCTGACAGAACCTCTCGCAACTTTTGAAACGAAGCATGTTACCGTAACACACTGCACACACACACACACAAACCACCGACACATGTGCACGCTGCACTGACCGGCCCGGCCCTCGTCTTGTGTGTGTGTGTGTATGTGTGTGTGTGTTTTCGCTGGCAGGCAGACCTCCCGTGTCGGACATGACGATGGTGCCGCCATTGAACTTGAGCCCTATCACTGTGGAGCTGGTTGTTATGGGCCGCGTCGTGTGCTTGATGGGCTCCTGACCAGACGACACCGCCGAGCCGCACAGCACGTGCTGGTTGTAGTCGCCATGGTAGCTGTAGCCGTAGTTGTCAGGGGCGCGGCGGCCGCGCAGCCGCAAACAATCCTCCATCGTCTCTCTGCCAGATCTGATTTCAGCTAAGCTCGCAGTTGCCAAGCGCGCAGTTTCTCCTCCCCAAGTCGCTGAACTCCTTTCATTCTATGCAGCAGAGAGTGTGCTTGAACGAGATTTTGTCAGAACTGCGGTGATTTGTTCAAGAGAGCGAACGGGTGATGATAGTTTGCTGAACGAAGCTGCAGCGGCGGTGAGCAGCAGGCACTGCACGGCACAGCCGGCCGGGGCAACACACATTGCTTTCTGGCCCTCATCGATCATTGTGTTGTGCTCCTCCTTCTGCCCTTGGTTGATCTTTCAGGTGTTGTGTGCCTGCCTGCCAATGTCCCATGCGTGTGGCCCTTCTGCTGCCACTCCCTGCTGTCCTGCTGCCGTGGATGGACACAGCAGCGGCATCCACACTACTCCCGCCGACCAACACGTCACAGCCCCCTCCCTGTGCGGACGACGGCCTCGAGGGCCTCCTGCCACCCGACCTATGTCGCGACGGGCATCAACCCCCCGGCAACCTCACTCTCCCCCACCTGCTGCCCGTCAACGCGTCCCTCATCAACGCGGAGCTCGCCAGGGGGGAGGAGCCGCTCAGCGGCGACCTCTGGGACCTCATGGACAGGCAGGCCAACGCTTCGCTCCTACGGCAGACGAAGACAAGTGGCCGGGGGGTGCCGGTGAGGAAGGAGCCTGACGATGGCGACGAGGTCTTGGGGATGGCTTTCGGGCTCTTGGGCGGCGATAGTGATGAGGGGCATGAAGATGACGACGATGCGGATTCTGATGAAGAGCCAGCTGAAGACTCGACGGACACGGCCGCCGAGCCAGAGCCGCCTCCTAAGCATCAAGAAGCCATCGAGCCGGAGGAGGAGCCAGAGCCAGAGCCGCCAGACGAGGAGGGGCCGCCCCCTCCTGCCCCCATCCCTGAGCCGTCCATCAGCGACGAGTCTTTGCAGGAGTGCCTCGACAGGGCCCGTTCAGTGCGCGACGGGGGCATCGCATTCGAGAAGGAGGGGTGGGAGAAGGTGCACGAGGCCAGGATCTGCACCCTCTGGCGGCGGCGGGTGGGCAGCAGCGGGGAGAATGGGGGCGTCAAGCTGTACGAGTACATGGCTGTGGGTTCCTTCGACGACATCTCGGTGGTCGACTACAACATCACCACGGGCGACCTCGACTTCCGCCGGTCGTGGGACGACAACATCGACACTGTCCGGGTGGTCCAGAGCCTTACATGCGACACTGCCGATGAGGAGGAGGAGGTGGACGTCGATGTGGATCTGGATGTGGAGGAGACCATCTACTGGCGGTTCAAGCTCCCCTGGCCACTGCAAGACCGCGACTTCGTCTATGCGCGCCGCTTCCGTCGCTACCACTGCCAGGACGGCGATGACGCCCTGGTGTCGGTCTCACAAGCGGTGACTCGCGAGGACTGTCCGGAGATCGGAGGGGTCGTCCGCATCCGCACCTTCAAGTCGCACCTGGTGCTGTTCACACGCCACAAGTCGGGCTCGATCGACCAGCCCGGGATGGACTACGTCATGTACCACTTCGACGACCCGCGGGTCAACCTGCCGTCGTGGGTGACGTCCTACCTCACCGCCCAGGCTCTCCCCACCACCATGCAGACTCTGCACGACACCGCACGAGCGCTCAGGACCAAACGACTCGCCGAAAGGGGAGCGCCGCCAGAAGAAGAGGCGGAAGTGGAGGTGCCGACTCCCACACCCACACCAGCACCAGCCCCTCCACCGCCCCCCGTCCCCCCCGTGCGTCCCCCTGAGGAGTTTTTCCCCATCACTCCGCCCAAGCTTGTCAAGCGGCGGCCGGCACCGGTTACCGAGGAGAGGGACGAGGGCGTGACGCACAAGGGGAAGCTGGCCAGCGCCCTGCAGGTGCTGCGCAAGAAGGTCAAGGAGAAAAAGGCTCGTGAGCAAGAGGAGCAGCGGGCGCATGAGAGGGTGACGGGCCCGGTGCGGTTCCACGACCGCCGCCCAGTCACGGCCGTGGACATCGTGCTCCAGGAGGACGGCCAGGAGGGGCTCCCGCAGCAGGACATCTCCCGCCCCACACATGCGCACCCCCGTGAAGAACAGCCGCAGCATCAGCACAGGCGGACCCCGTCCCTGCGTGTGGGTGAGCCAGTCAAGGCCAGGCGGATCGCACTGGATGAGGTGGACCTGGTGGAGCACGCCGGCATGGACACCGACCTGGTTATCGTCTCTATGGGCCGCCTCGTCGGCCGACGCGAGAGGTGGAGGCGCGTGCTGAGCGGCGCCAGGGGGCGGCTGGTCGTCACGTCTGCTGACCCACTGAACGACTCTTCTGTGATGGACATGACGAAACGGCGTAGGCGGCCTGTGACGTGGGTGCAGAGGCGGGAGGGAGTGGTGGGGACAGCATTGCCGTCATCTCGACGATCTGCTGTCGTGGACGGGCGGCGGCGGAAGAGCGAGAAGCGTCGAGGGAAGGGCAAGAAGGGGAAGAGGCCGTCAGGCACCAAGGACGGCAGCAACGATAGTTCTGGGGGTGGGGGCGGCGGCGGTGGTGGGGGAGGGTCAGAGGCAGCGGCTAGCGATGTGTAGGTTTGCTTGCTTGGTTGGTTGCTGGATTGCGGGGTAGCCGACTTTCTCTGTCTCGCTCGCTGCCTGCCTGCCGTGTGGATGGATGTAGAGATGATGTCTGTCAGCGACTGAATCGACTGAATCGACTGAATGGATGGATCGATGGATGGATGGATGGATACGAGCGTGGGTGGGTTGGCGGGCATGTCGTGAGGCGGGAGGCGAGAGAGAAGGGCGTTTTTCCGTCTTCGTGTTGACAGAGAGAGACGAACGAACTGAGAGACACTCGATGCCTGCCTGCCTTTGCGAAGTAGATGAATGCTTTCAGCGCGATCGTCGGTCTTAAGAGTCACCGTGAACAAATGAGCATCCGTCGCCTTGTCTGTCGTCGCTGGGCTGCTCATGCTCAGGCCATGAAAGGTGCCGGACACATCTCTGCACAGCCAGATGGGACAACTTGACCGTCCAGTCGGGCGTCGGCATCTCATCTGACTGTTCCTCGAGCAAACCGACGCACGTCTTCTCCCGCACCTGCACACAACCGACACGCACCCGCACATCCACATCATCAACAGATGGCTGTCGGTTGTCCTCATTGCTTCCTTCCTCGACTCAAGAAAGGGCGACTCACCCCTTGCTCAGCACGGGTCTCCTGGCAGGCGATCTGGGGCTGCCCTCCCGGCACAGATGTGAATTCCGTGAGGGTCGACATCGGTGAGTCCCAAATGTCGACCATGGGTGCGGTGGGCTCCTTGAGACACCACAGACGGGCCGCTGCTGCCGCCTGCAAGGGAAGGGAACAGTGGACAAAGAAGAAACGACGAGGTTCAGTAGAGTTTGGTGGTGCAGGGACATACCTCTGTGGCCGTCTCGAATGAGTCAGCCGCCTTCTGTGCGTTCTTGATTGTCTCAGCGGACCGTATCATCGCTGCGGCGTCTCCCGCAGCCTCAGCGGCCTCCAGGGCTTGTTTAACCGGCTTGGCGGATGCCTCCCACTTCTCCATGTTCTGGCATACGGACAGCGAGTGTGTGTGGCGGCAGGGACACTTTGTCTGTCGGTCGGTCTGCCTGCCCTCCTGCCTGCCTCTGTCTATACCGACCAGCTTGGCGTTCAGTGAAGGGTGCTTCTTGAGCATGAAGATCATGTCCAAGAGGTGTGCAGTTGCCTGCAAGGACACAGACGGGCTCTTTCCCTGCGATTAGTGCCTGGGGTGGCCAGAGGAGCCTCCCTTTAGCGGAGTGACCTGAGCTGTCTCGCCCCACGCGAAAGAAGCCTCCTCCCACGCACTCATCGTTGCGGAGTGGACAGCGGGGGAAGACGCGATGGCGGCGGCGCGAGCCGCCGATTCTCCTGTCATGCGCATGCAGTCACACATTCGAGAGACACACATTCGCGAGAGAGCGAGACAGACAGAGTGTCGTCATGTCGCTCACTCACGCGACGGTGTCGTGGTGGACTTCCTTTGTGTCTTTCGCTCTGATCTCGGCGAGAGACCGTTGTGTGGCGGCCGCCTCCTGCAGTGCAGGAATGCAGGCAGGATACGGTGTGATTGATGTGTGTGTGTATGTGTGTGTGTGTGTGTGGTCACTGAGGACAGATGGCAGCCAGCCGGGCACAAGAGAGACGACATACCATGAGAGTTGATGCGGTCTCCGCGGCTTTCTCTGCTCGGTACGCCAGTGCACCATCCAGCCACGATGTATTGGCGAACACGCAGCACACACGTGAGAGCGGGTGACTCGCCACCAAACTGCACACACACACACACAGACAGACAGACACACAGACAGACAGACAGACAGACAGAGAGAGAGAGAGGGAGAGACACAGCGGTGGCTGTCTCACGCGTTGTCCGACACTGCCTCCACTCACTTGCTTCGGGCGCGTTTGATGAACGCTGCGGATGCCCCATCCACTGGGCAGCACACCATCATGCAGTGCAATTAAGGACGCAACAACATGGACAAGCGTGGTCAGCTTGGACTGTAACAGCTGCGTACCGCTGTAAGACGCGCCGATCACTCCCAAGATCAACAGCCACAGCATCTTCTCAGTCGGAGGGAGTCGACTCAGAGATCGAGACGGGTGGGGGCAGACTGAAACGCCCCCAGATGGGAGGGGAGATGTGGAGATCTGGCCACTTCTCGGCCACATTGGCGGACACCGCGACGGGAAAAGGCGGAATCGCGGGGAAAAAGAGAATTGGTTGGTTTGGGAAGGATAGGACCATGCGAGCTGGAAGCTCGCAACCAAATGGGAGTGGAGAAAAGTGGAGGCTGGGGAAGGATGCGATAGGAGGTCGGCCATCATCCGATTGAATCGATTGCTGTCAGGTTTTGCGTGAGGGCGCCGGTATCAGATAGTGTGTCGACGTGTTGCCGGCCATGTCGCAACCAGCCCCTGATCTGGTGCAGCAAATCGTCGAAATGGGCTTCCCGGAGGCGGCCGCGAGGTCAGCCAGCCATCAGAGACACACACACGCATCGGCACGCCAAAAGAGGGCATGCTGAGCCTCTTGAGCCTCTTGCTGCTTTCACCTCAGGGAGAAGCTTCGCGATCACAAAGGCGACATCCAGGCGGCCGTCAACGCGCTGATTACGCAGCAGGGAAATGATAGCGGAGGTGCGTGGCAGACAGGGCACCTCTCACACGTAAACAAACACAACCATATCTCTCTGTCTGTTTGTGGGGTGCATTGGTTGGTGCAGGTCAGCAGGCGATGGATGTGGACGTGACGGCTGGCGGTGGCGGCGGCAGCGGCTCCACTCTGCAGGCCATCGGGCCAGCTCAGGCAGGGCCTGACTCAGGCGGCGGCGGGGTGGGGGCTAGCGGTAGGTCGTGACACGACGAGGCGCACACACATCACTCGCGCACAGCACAGCAACCCATCACACATACACACACACATTCGGTCATTCATTCACACGGATAAGCGAGCGCAATATATGCATCCATATCACTCACGAGTGCGTGTTCGTCTGTCTGTCTGTCTGTGTGTCTGTCGGACTCTGTCCATCGACTGACAGGTCCGGCCATGACTGATGAGGACAAGGAGATCGCAAAAGGTGGGCAGGCAGGCAGGCAGACAGACGCTCCTCACGCAATCATACCCGGCAGATGTGTGTGTGTGTGTGTGTGGTGGCGATGGGGTGGATTGGTCTGACCAGCTGTGGAGATGTCGATGGTGGATTCTGGTCCGCAGGCCGTGGCCGACACGTCCAACCCATACGAGCGGGAACGCAAAGAAGGCGAACCTTGCGGCCTCAAAAACATCGGAAACAGTAAATGAACACAGTCAGCTCACCTCACCTCCACCTCCTCATCTCTGCCTCCATCCTCCCTCCCTCTCTCTATGTCTGTGCACTGTGCAATCAGCGTGCTACGTCAACTCCTTTCTCCAGACGCTCTTCCTGGTCCCCGAGTTCGTCGACTGTGTGCTGCGCTATCGCGAGGAGAGTGAGCTGTCCCCCCACGAGAAGGAGCGGTTCGTCGAGGCGCGCGAGAAGCGGCGCCAGCGTGAGGCCGCCATGGCCGCCGAGGCCGAGGCGAGGAGGCAGCAGCAGGAGGCGGCCGAGAGGGAGGCTGCGGCGGGGGCCAGCAGCAGCAGCAGCAGTGCAGCCGAGGCCGCCACGGCCGCCACGGCGGCCACGGCGTCCGAGACCACTGCTGGGTAAGTGGCAGGGTGTTCGTGGGACATGATGCTTGTGGGATGTTGTGTCTGTCTGTTTGCATATGAATGATACAGCAATGGGAGCGGTGACGGTGCGGCGGACGCCGTGCCCAGCCCGGCCACGGAGAGGGTCGAAACGCCCCAGGGCGAAAAGTAAGCCGAGCGGGAAATGTCTGTCTGTCGGCATATTATCATGAGGTCTTCACACACGATGTGACGCGTGTTGGTGTGTTTGTCAGGGACACCAGCGGCGCGAGGAAGAGGCGGACCGCGTCGCAATCACTAGGTGATGCGTGTGACACATAAAGACTCAGTCAGACGTCTGGTGATCACTATGTGTCTGTTGCTATGCCACACACTGACACGCTCATCAGTGGTGGAGCTGCGCCGTCTGTTTGCGCACATGCTGCTGTCCAAGCGCAAGTACGTCAGCCCCGGGAGCGTCCTGGCGCACTTTGTCGATGAGAAGGGTGCGCTCATTCACTGTCACTGCACTCACTCTGTGGGGTCACTTTGGTGTGTGTCCATTGACACGTGTGGTGTGCGCTGTCTGTCTGTGTGGCTCACTCACTCAGGTCAGAAGATCCCCCTGGGCACGCAGGAGGACGTGGGCGAGTTCTCGCTCAAGTTCTTCGAAAGACTCGAAGAAGGTACTCACACACACACACACACGCACACAGAGCGGAAGAGCCGCCCTTGCACTCTCACGCATCGCATCGCATCGCCCTGCTATCTCTCTCTGCCTTGATTTGTGTGCTCGCGTCGCATCAACTCAACAATCAGGTTTCATGCAAGGCACGGTGATCCAGCCCCGCCCCATCAGCACCCACCTCCCGCCCCCGCCGCCTCTCTATCCCTCGCCGCCCCTCCCATCACCGCGCACCAACACCAGCACCAACACCAACACACAGCAGCAGCAGCAGCAGCCCCAAGACAACCACATGCACGCCGCCCACCCAGAAGACTACACGGCACCGCCCCCCGCGCCATCATACGATGCGGGCGGTCTCCTGCCGCCTTTGCCACCCACTGCCATGAACGTGAGTGTTAGCGTCAGCAATGGGGGAGACGACCAGCATCAGCAGCATCAGCAGCAGGAGGATCAGGTGGTGGGTGAGAGTGAGGCGGCGGGTGATCTGGGCATCAGGGTGCTCAAACAGGTCTTCTTCGGAGAGGGCGTCCAGGTGGGTGGGAGAGAACCTCCAGAACTAACAGCACTCATCCCGCCGTGTCCATTCTCCCTTATTTCGCTCCTGTGTCTTGTGTCTGTGTCTGTGTGTGGGTCAGTTTTTGACGATCCCCGGCAACGCGCCAGCGTCGTCCCGCACGCCCCTGGTCCGCCGCACGCGCCCCTCCAGCAAACACTCGTCGCCATCCCACCCCCCACTGCCCCCGCCAATCACAGTCCCACCACCCACAGGCATCTCGCCCGCCAGCCGCAGAGAGTCCGACGTCATGGACACCGGCGAGACCACGGGGGCCATGGCCACCATGGCTGACGCTGCGGCGGCAGTATCGGCCGATTCTGGTGTGGGCGGCAGCTGTGAGAGGCAGCAGCAGCAGCAGCAGCAGCAGGGGGCGAGTGCTGGAGGTCTTGGTGGAGGCGGTGGAGGTGGTGGAGGTTTGGATCGGACACGTACGCATGAGGAGGAGCACGAGAAGCGGGAGTTCCAGCAGGTCTTCCTGGACCTCAAGAACCAGGACGTCTACAGCGGCTGGGAGAGCCAAAACTTCAACGACGTCGAATACAAAATGCCCGACGGAGGGTTGACCATCCAGGTCACTCACTGCGGACATGACGCCACGCCACGCTCTCTCCTTTCCTCTCTGTGTGTCATTTCGACCGTCTTGGGCTCTTTCTCTCTCTCTCTCTCTCTCTGTGTGTGTGTGTGTGTGTGTGTGTGGTTGGCACAGGCACGGACTGAGTGGTGGTTGAAGCGGAAGCCGAATCTGCTGTTCTTCCAGCTGCATCGGGTGGTGTTCGACCACACGACGGAGCGGCAGATTAAACTCAACGACGTGTTCCACTTCGACAGCCACATCTTCGTCGACCGATTCATGTACTCAAACAGAGCCGAGGCACTCCGCGTCAGAAAGGCATGCGCCAAACTCAAGGAGCAGAAAGCCATGGTCAGTAAGTCGAGGCCAGGAGAGGAGAGCGAAACACACACACACACACACACGAGATCGCACCGGCCCACACACAAGCCTTTGTGTGGGTGGGTGGGTGGGTGGATGGATGTCAGCTGGAGAGCACGATGCAGCGGTACAACCACTTCAGCGAGCCGGCCAATCCCGCCATCGACACCATCCTCCGTCTCACTGCCACATTCTTCGAACAAGTCAAGGATGCCACACAAAGGCGAAACGCAACTGCCGGCCTCGCCCTGCCCTCCACCCACACCCAATTGACCCACACCCACACCCACTCTCGCGTCGCCAGCAACGAGTCCATTCCCTCCCAGGCAGCCGCTGACGACAGAGAGCACCACGGCGGCGTCGAGCCGGCAGCCTTGCTGACCGATCCGGCTGCCATCCATCCGCCTCTGGCGACTCCGACGGCAGCTGTCGACTATGGCGCGTGGCTGGGCGGCGGTGGCGGTGTGGTTGACGGTTTGGTTGAGAAGATCCGTGCGACAGCTAGTGTGCTGGAGGGTCAGCGGCGCGAGCTGGAGGGGCGGGCCAACACGCTGGGGCGGAACATCGAGAAGGCCTTTGCGCACCTGAATGACCACCCCTACTACCTGCACGCGCTCTGGATCCACCAGGTAACAAACAAGACACGCACCAGGACCTTCGGTGTGCCTTACTTTTGTGTGATGGCGTGTCGGCAGGGCGTGGCTGGATCAGGTGTGTGAGCAGTAGGCACAGCAATGGACACGCACACACACACACACACACGCGCGCGCAGAGAGAGAGAGAAAAAGAGAGAGTGGGCTTCCTTGACGGGCGTGTGTGGTTCCATTGGGTGTGTGTGTGCAGGTCACTACTGGGCGTACCTGCGTGACCTCCTGCAGGGCACCTGGTACAAGTTCAACGACTCCAACGTCTCCGTCGTACCACAAGAAGAGGTCAGCCACCACCACCACACACCAAAGAACCGGACCGCACCGCCGCACAACACAAAGAAAGCGACACAACAGAACCCACCCGATGCATCGATCCATCCACCTTTGACTGACCGATCAGGTGATGCTGCACGCGCAGGGCACCAAGTCGGCCGACGGCACCACCGGCCCCTCCGAGTACACCAACGCCTACGTCGCCGTCTACGTCGACCACTTCTACGCCGTCCGATGCATCAACAACCTCCACATCATCTTCGGGGGACCCACACACAACACACAACTGCTGCAGCAGCAGCAAGAGCAGCAGGAGCAGGAGAAGCAGGAGACGGCCGCCTCCCCCTCCCCCCTTCGCAGATCAGACCCCTCCGCCCCCACCCCGATGGACACCGTGTCCAGCCCGCCCATCGAGCCGCGCGCATCGGGGACGGCAATGTCGCCGCCACAGATGGACCTCAACCCGACGGCGAGAGACGCCGACATGGACGGGGGTCAGGGGAATGGGAGCGAGCTGGACTTTGAAGATGAGGGCGGGCCGGTGGAGGAGGATGACGACAACCAGCATGGCGGTGGCGGTGGGGAGGGTGCGGATGGGGAGGTGGAGGTGGAGCAGGATGTGGTGGCGAGCGACGCGCGTGAGTATCGGGGTCTGATTGTGGACTACCTCAAGCGGCAGCTCCCGCACTCACTCGTTGACGAGATCGAGAAGGACCACCTGGTACACACACACAGACAGACACACAGACAGACTGCCCTGATGGATCCGTGTGTCCATCCACCACATCAGGCCTTCCAGCGCGAGAAGGACGACTGGCAGGAGCAGGAGCGGAAGAACAAAATACTCGCCAAAGCCAACGAGATCTACATCGTAAGCCAAAGCCACGCACGCAGCCACGCACTCAACACGCCCACAGACACCTGTCCGTCCGTCTGTCTGTCTGTCTGTCCCCCGAACGAACGAACGAATAGGCGTTCGCCCAGCGTCGGCACGAGTTTTCCGAGGAGGGTGGTGACTGCTACCTGATGCTGCGGCACTGGCAGCCCAACGCCCTCAACGCGCAGAATCTCAAAGACCAGGCACACGACCCCCGGCTGCGCAGCCTCGAGTGCTTCATCTACCTCTTCGTCGCCTACCACTGGCCACTTGCACGCACCATTCAGCAGCCGACCCTGTACGCAACCAACCCACACACACACCCGAACAGACAGACAGACAGACAGCCATTCACCTATGGATGGCCATCCACAGGAGCTTGGCGGCGTGGACGCTGGACCGTCACTTGCTGCGGCAGCAGGTGGATCAGGCGCTGCATCAGCACCCCGAGATCAGGGCGCTCCTCCGTCCGCAGGAGGCCGGCAAGCCCGACGAGCTCACCCACCTGCTCACAACCGTCATCGTCAGCCTCGACCCCCACGGCGACAACAGCGTCTTACTGGAGACGGAGGTCGGTTCGCCTGTCTGTCTATAATGCACGCACAGTCGCACACATGATTCCACCCACCCAGCCATGGGCCCATCCGGCTCTGGATGTGTGTCTGTCTGCAGGACCAGGTGAAGCGGGCCGTTCCGCAGAGGTTTCCCGACGAGAGCCCCATTGTGGTTGCCAGCAGCACTCGGCGGGCCCAGCTGCACCGCGGCTATGCCCAGCAGCCACCCACCCTTGCCGAGCTGGAGCGTGACTTCTACGGCATGTTCCGCGGCGTGCTCTTCACGGCCAACATGGCCAAGATGGCCTACGAGTTGATTGTCAACGGGCAGTGCTACGACGGGGCCACCATGCTGGCCTGCCTGTGGGCCACCTGTCTGGAGGGGCTCAAACGCACCCCGGCCCAGCACCAGCAGCAGCAGCAGGAGACCCCTGCGCATGACGAGTACCGGCAGACGGAGGTCACTTTGGCGCTCAGCATCGTCATCCACTGCACATTCGAAATGCTCAGCACGTAAGTAACACTGAGAGCGATCGTGGGAGGGGGGGAAGGAGAGAGGCCATGGCTGAGAATGTATGTGTCGCTCTTGTGTTGTGTCTACTGTGTCTGTCGTGCAGTCAGCCGCCTGAGGACCAGCTGTTCGACGAGTACTGCAAAATCGTTGTGGTCGGTGCGGTGCCTCCCTCAATACACACACACCAAGAGAGAGACAGCGAGAGAGATGGGGAGGGGAGGTGCATGATCTCTCCCTTGTTCGTTTGTGCCAGCTAGCTTGTGTGTGTGGATGGATGTTTGTCTGTCTGTCTGTGCAGGTGTACTTCCGCTTGATGGACGTCATCGAGTGGCCCGACAGCTGGAAGAAGGACCACAAGAACAAAATCATCCGATCACAGAGTCCATTCCTCCGCATCAGGGACGAAATCAACCAGGTGGGTCGGTTTATTGACCGGGACACTCAGTCTGTCAAGTACCACACACACTACCTGTGTGTGTGTGTGTTGCTTCAGAACTCGCAGCATTTCTCGAGCCAGGTCAACCGCATGGCCAGCAAGGGCGAGTACCTCACTCGGTGGGTGCCGGACGTCGGGCGGCATCGCGACGCCATGGCCCGCTACCGCCGCGTGACGCGCTGCAGTACGGATGACCCACAGCTGGTCAATTGGGTCAGGGCACTCCAGGGTGGCGGATGGCCCACCAGCACCAGCCAGCCCACCGGCGCTACTTCGCCAGCTGCAGCCCCTCTGGGCACATCATCAGGGGGCCATTTGTCTGATGCGGCGTCACCGTCGAGTGTGGGCGGTGGTGTGGGTGATGGCGATGTGCCGCTGCCGTCGGTTGAGCTGTTCGAGACCCACCGTGACTTATACAACAAAGTCATGAAGAACAACGGCGAGATGACACACGAGTTCGTCCTCAAGGAGAGGAGGCGGCTCGCCGCACAGACCGCTGAGTGAGTAAATGAGTGAGTGGATGAGTGCATCAAGGTCGTGCCAGACAGACAGACAGACAGAGGGGGATGGACTGAACGTGTCGGTTGCAATGGGCGGCAGATAGGCTCGTGCGTCATGGAGTCAGCCAGTGGCTGAAGAGGGGTGGACGGACGGACGGACGGACGGACGGACGGACGGGGGCTTTTCTCCCGCCCTGTATGTGTGTGTGGGTGGGTGGATGTGCAGCCAGCAGGTGTCCATCCACTCACTCAGTCAGTCAGTCAGTCAGTCACGGGAGCGTCCCTGAGTGAGGCGCATACCTTCTGTATGCCTGCCTGCCTGTCTGTGGTCAATTACTTGAATGCCTTGGCGGATGGACTGTGAGACGTCCGTGGCTGTCTGTGTGTCTATCCGTCTGTGTTGCATCTCTGTGGATGTGTGTGTCTCTCTCTTTGTTATCAACCAACCCTTTCACCATCCTTGGCCACACTCATTAAATGAAGACCCATTCACAACTAACTGGGCGATGATTCAGGAATTTGTCAAGTCATCCTGTCCGCCAACGCGCACCGAGTCTGCAAATTTTCCTGGCCGGGCTGCAGGCCGTAGGAGGTGACTTTTCTGTGGTTTGCAGCCTTCTCCCACGGTTTGTGTGAAACTACTGCCTTCGCTTTTGCTTACGCTTCCTTTTCTGCTGCGAGAGGGTGGGGGCGTAGGTGGGGGCGGGAGACGGCGGGCCAAGACTGCCAGTGCCTGTCCGCGTGGAGAAGGTGCGTGCTTGAGGACCATGCTGCCCCATCCTTGTGTTGTTCTGGCGTCCTTCCATGTGCTGGCATTGCTGAGCTGCCTCCCAGGGACGCTCGGTTGGCGCCACAACGTCTCCGCCGGTGCGGGTATCGGTCCTGGCCAGGCCATACTCGGATCTCAGGATTTCCCGGTCCCGACCGTTCTCCTGGGTATGCAAACAAAAGAGCTCCCGCAAGTTGAGCGCATGGCCCCGACTTTCCTTTGCACGCTGTCATGCAGGATGTCACTTCCCCATTCACGACCTTCGAAATGAGCTGGTCTATCTCTTCTCGCAGCCGGAGGGGCCCTCAGACATCTCAGGCTGGTCCGCATGTCCAGTGCCTGCCTGTACAGATGGCAATCGACGTGTATCTTCTCATTGCGTCTGTCTGTCTGTCTCTCTACAGGACCTGGGACGCGTACCTTAGAGATCTCGCGTTCATTGACTGGATAAAGGATGCGAGTGCCGCTCCAGAAGACAGGGGTCCCCCCGAGAAGACAATGCCGCGAAAGCTCAGCGGATACTTTACAGAGAGGGGCGCAGTGCAGTATGAGACGGAAGACCACCGTTACGTCTATGATGTCAGGAACTTCACTGAAACCACTCGGCGTAACCCGGGGCTGCTCTGGGAGGGATTCACTGAGTCCCGTCTGCCACACTTCCGGCAGCTCGACCTCGCCGACAAAAAACAGGTGAAGTGTCAAGTGAAGAGTCAAGGCAAAGAAAGGAGAGTCACTTGATGAATGCGTGCAGGTGGCTTCTGCCCACCAAAACCTCCATCTTCCACTCAACCATTTCAATGTCGCCGTCCTCGTGTATTGCCCGCAAGATATCTTCTGGCAACCGTCCTGAAATGACCATCCAGAAGTGGCCCAGATGAACTACAATGAGATGTGGGAGTTTCTGCCGCACTTCAAGCTCATTTCTTCATTCTGGCAGAATATGCGGGCCCTCCTCGCGCCGGTGACCAATGCGTGTCAGAATGCGCCGGCAATCTGTGTCTCCTCTGATAGATCCTTCTTCTCCTCTGTGTGTGTCAACAACCCATTAGGCCGGTACGATCATCGTCGACACCATCCCGGTATGCGGGCATTGACTGAATGAGACACATCTTTATAGGTGCCGGCGGGCGGTTTGTTATTGGTTTGTTAGGCTTTCTTCGAGGGCAAGGCCTGCCACTGTAACAGACCCCTTTCGAATACGGTCTGTTCGCGCCCTATAAGGCTTGGAGTCGAGATCTGCTGGCTCAGAGATTTTCAAGCACTGAGTCTCCTCTTCGACTACTTCATCCACCTGGTCGAAAAAGAAGGGCTCCGGCTCATCCAACCCGTGTTTCTTGACGACACGGGTAATGGTGGACAAATATTCCCAATAAGGGTGTGATGGTGTCTCTTGTGTGTTTCGCCGTGTTGCTACAGGAAAGATGGGCATCAAGCTACAGCGAGTGGACTAGTGAGGGCCCGCGTCGTGAGAGAAGGAGAAGGAACGACCGCCTCTGCTGGGTTGGCTGCGGGTGCTGGCAATTCTGCCAGACACCCACCAGCGGTTGACCGACTCATGCGTCTCTCTGCCTGTGAGTGGTGACTAGATGGATGGACTAATGACCAGAGGCTGAGAGTTGGGAATGCCATCCCTGAGAGACAGTATCGGATAAATTTAAGGGCAGGAAGAGAGAGGTCACTGGCATCTACTCATGTACTCCATCACTCACTCGCACGCATGACCCCCTTCGCGGACACATATCAACGTAAAGAAGCAGATCACAGCGGTAGTTTCAGCCGCAAATCAAATGCATAAATCACGTGGCGTACCTACCGTGTACATTTTCGTCATCCGTGCGAAATGGATCACCCAGTAGACAGATACAATCGTCACTTCGGGCTGTGTAGATGAGTTCGATAGGACCGGTAGCAATAGGTGAGACTCATGATTGCTGGTTGCTTGTTTTGTGTGAGTGAGTGAGTGATATCGATGGCCATGGGTGGATGGCTGATTAAATGGATATAAGAGACAGGCGCTCATTTTCGCTCTTTGTGCTGCTATGCGTTGAGGTAATGAAAATGAGACGACCAGGTACGAACACATAGAGGCATTCGACACGCTCACTCAGGGTCAGCTATTTCAGCGCCGTCTACAAATGGCTGATTCGTATCTATGTTCAGCTTGATCAATCAATCAATCAGTCAGGCATCCATTCACCATTGCAAAGAGGTCTCAGAAGTGAATGACTCATTCATTCATTCATTCACTTCCTGGCCATTCTCGAGTCTGTTTGAATGAGAAGGAGCTCGAGTCTGTTTCCCGTGAGAACGTGTTCTCACTGCACAGCAGGGAACAGGGCCAGCTTTGGCAGGCAGAGACGAGACACCCACTCACGTGCAGTTCACAGCTGCGGTACAGCGTCTGCTGACTGACCATGTCGCATACATGACGGAATGAAAGACACAAGCCGACTACGGCCACACAATGATGCACAGCACAATCTCGTGCATACAGATGCCTCACCCGATCGACGCGACGCCGAGGAATAAAGAGGCAAAAGATAAGAATGGACAAACACAAGACACACACTCAAACACACACGCCATGAGTATGATACACCCATGCGCACACACATGTCATCCATGTCGCTGGACACACCCACAAGGACGGCAAGAGGGAGAGATTGGACAGGCACGCACATCTTTCTCTGCTTGGTGCCCACGAGGCGTCTGCCGTCGGCTGGTCAGCTAGCTGTCGTCCTCATCAGTGCCGGCCCTGATGGTGGTCAGGGCATCATAGACGGCCTCGGAGGACACCAATACGGCCAGGCTGTCTTTATCGTCACTGCTCAGCCGATGCCAATCCACTCGCGTGAGACTGTGGCAGGGGGGCGTCAGGGCGGCGGGGCTGTCGCTCGGCCGCGATTGGGTCGAGCCGACGAGCGACGCCGCCCCACTCACCGACGTGCACTCTGCATTATCGCCACATGGCGTATCCACCACGGTGGGCGCCAGGCTCGCGAGAATCTCCGGAATGGCCTCCTGCAACCAGCCCAACAACACATGAGTACTGACAGACACACGAGCGTACATCTCTCTCTCTGACAAACCGGCGGGCTGCCCGCCTCGATGAGCGTCCGCTTGGCCTTCCGGAATGCCTCGTAGAGCCCCCGCCAGCCGCCAGTGTGGCCCTCAGTGTCGGCCTTGTCCAGGTCGCCGCCGTCGGCCCTCCGCCTAAGGGCCGCCTGGTGCAGCTGCTCTCTGGTGACAAGCTCGTCCACCACATAGCACAAATTGGCCTGCAGGTCATATAAGGTGATGCCCGCCGACACGACAGCAGCCTGACCACTGCTGACACACAAAGACACGGCGTGAGAGAGTGTTCTCAATGGCAATTCTCTGTGTCGTCCGGACCTGTCTGCGGGACGTGTGTCGATGTGGGGGGCCCCCAGCGGGCCACTTGGTTCATCATCATAGGTCTTTCCGGCCTCCAATAGGGTGGACGCTGCACGCATCACCACCCTGTCGGCACCTGTGTGGACTGACGAAAAGCTTACATCTGTCGGGGCATTGTCTTCGGAGTGCATTGGAGAGGTCGCTTGTGCCCATCTGCCGCAACCCCTGCACACACACACAAGTCGCCCCGTTACCACCACAACACGGTGCCCTTCTTTCTCCGTTGTCTTACTACTCTGGCTGTGCGGTCGTCGGGCCTCGGCAGGTGCACGACCACCTGGCCCCCTCTGCGGCTGCGCGTCTCCACCCTCTTCTGCGGCAGGGTCTGAACGAGAACGGCGTGACTCCACAGAAACTCCTGGCTGACCCACCACACAGACGGACAGACAGACAGACAGACATACAAACAGACAAACAGGCCTCTTGTCTGCTGTGGATTCTTGTGGGCGTATGTGCTTACAAGTCGCCGGGCACGTGTGTGAGTTTGAGAGTCTCGATGGCGTCCTGCACGGCGGCCGACATCAGCTGCATCGCCGCCACCACCAGATACACCGGCCCACTTGAGGGCCGGCACCCCCCTGATGCAGCACGTGGACCGTCTGCTGCAGAGAGAGCCGCACTCGACCAGTCATAGAATACTTTCGGTGAGACCCGCCGTCTGTCCTCCTCTTGGTGGATGAGCCACGACACCAGCGGGCCCGTCACACAACCTGACATCACGCGGGCTGAATGAAACCACAGAGACGGCGTCAGCAGACAGAATGAGACAATGATTCCGCGCCCTCACCGATGGCCTTCTTGCGGTCGGTGAGGGCGGTGAATCTGTAGCCCACTTGCAGCAGACCATAGCGGCATATCTGCCCCGTCAGCATGACATAGTGCACCAGGTTAGCCGCAATGACCGCCAGCACGAGGGCGATCGTCAGTGCCAAAGAGGTCCCCTCGGGCAGCATGACCACGAACTGCATCACGAAGAGCGACATGAGCCACACCAGCAGCCCACGCAGCTCGGTCCGATTCAGGATGTCCATGCTGCCGCGGTCGAACGGCCACACAGTGAGCTGCAGCGCCACACACACAGCGGCCACCACCGTCCAGCCCAGCAGCTGCTGGCGGGGCTGCGCCGTCGCTTGCTGGGCGATCAGCAGCACCAACACACGCCTCATGGCGAGGACGGCATCCCAAAAGACGTAGGGCTTTCGGTAGCCGGCATAGAGGAAGCCCACGCGTCTCCTCGTGTGGGGGTCCTGCAGGCCGTCTCTGTGCCGCCACAGAAACGCCACGCCGCATACCACAGGGGCTAACGTCCACAGAGATAGGCCGGCCACGGCGATCCAAAGGAAGGGCACGTGTTCGGCAGAGCCACAGATGACGTCCGAGTCGAGGTCCATTCTCCTCCTCATGACATCCGCCGGGTCAGTGGACAGCAGACTGACACTCTCGCCCTCTGCGATGGGGATGACGGTGTCCACAAAGGGATATGGTCGGCATTGCAGGAGGGCCAGCATACTCTTGGTGACTGTGGGGTGGATTAGCGTCAGGACTACGACCATCATCGTGCCGCGGTCGTCGAACAACTGCCGCCATCGGCTGGAATTGCGCTGCACAAAAGAGTGCTGGCAGGAGGGCGGTGTCACTGGCTCGGCCCGCGAGTCCTCCTGGAAGGTGACCGATCGCTGGTAAGGGCCCTTGGCGGCGGCCTCCTCTCGTTTGCCATCGGTCACCGATGGCGGCGCCGAGAGGGACCGGAGGTAGCTGTCGGTGGCGAGAGAGATTGAGTCGTCGTTGCCGATGCGCCGTCTCGGCTTAAACGAACGACGTGCTCGGTCAATACCGCTCGCTGCAGTCACGACACGAGCATAGATGAGCACAGCTCATTGTCTCTCAGACTGTGCGTGCGTGTCAGTTCACCGATCAGAGGCACTATGGATCAGCGTCCGTATGTGCTTACCAACGAGGGGCGCAATGGTTAGCCAGAGTAGAGGCAGTGCCAGCCACATGGCGTGGCGATACAGCACGCATTTGTCGTGCCTCAGCACGCACTCCCACACCTGATAGCTCTGCGGCACCCCGCCGTCCCACGCGAAGAATGGCCCGACCAGCGAGGCTATCTGGTCGCCCCAGATTGACTCGTCGAACACGACAAAGGCCAAACCACACACCTGCACAATCATACACACGGCAAGAGAGAAGAATGATGAAAGAAGAGTGCATGTGCCTGATCTGTCGCGGCGTACGGCGGTAATGTGGGAGAGCCCTATTTTGGTCAGCTGGGACGGAACCTCAGCGCGCGGAGACGCCGCCCCCCTGAACACAGATAGCAGGAATGTCGATTGGTGGGCTTGTGGGGTGGATACACGGCTGTGTGCTAACCTTTTCGCCAGTGCGGTGAGGATGAAAAAGGCCATCAGAGTGGCGACTGCGAGCAGCACGTTGACGACAGCAATCTGCCACAGGGGGGCACACGGGGCGCACGGCTGCTGGGGGGTCTGCCGCGAGAAGCCCGCTCTGCACCGATTGCACACAAAACCCTCATGCCCCTCCTACGTGACACGCAGAAAAGGCATACGCACATCAGAAAAGGCGACGCTCAATCTTACCGAGCATATGTTGAGCCCATTAGTCTTGTTGGTGCCTCTGCATGCGGACAGCAGTGGACACGGCATCACGACGGGCAACAGTGTCAAACCAGCGCTGTACCTGAACAGAGGACCCACATATCACTCTCATGTCTGTTGCCTCTCGGCTACGTTGTCGTTGTCGGCTCTCATGCTTACGTCGCCACTTCTCGTGTGACGTTGACGGATGAGGCATCCGACAGGTGAACGGTCAATTGGAAGAATCCCGGCAGCACGCTCGCGTTGTAGTTGACGGGCACCGAGCAGTCGACACCAAACAAACAGTTCTGGCAGATCCACGTCCCGCGACTCCCGCCACCGCCACTGCCGCCCTTGCGCACGCCGACCGACCCCGCTGTGCACGGCTCACACGGCTCGTCGCCGCGCCTCTCGTAACCAAGGCGACAGTAACACGCAGCCGAACCCTCCTCAGAACCTGCACACACATGCACATAGACCGACGGTGACGCCCAGTGGCAGCTTATCCTCAAATGCTGACCAGCATCATCGGGGCATCGTTTGCATATTTGAGTGCCAGCTTGTCTGTTTGAGTATGTGCCCGCCGGGCATTTGGTGCAGTTGATGCCGGTGCCCTCGTAGCCAGGCAGACACCGACAAAGAGCATCCGAATCAAAGGTATAGTCCACCTGGCACAAAAATCACAGTGAGTATGCGTGCATACTCGTGCTACATGCATGTGCTGCTCGATGGCAGCTGACCTTAATCTGATTGAGTTCGGAGCACAACTCCGTGCACTCGAAGTGCTCGTCACCGTCATCAACTCTTTGCACCACATATCCTACATCAAACCATACCCAGTCCACAAGTGATATCTGGTATGTAACTCACCCTGAGGGTCGGGCACCAGTGGTCTGGATTCGCCCAATCGATGAATGCCCAATCGATAGAAGGCATCTCCCTCATCTCCCTGGTGAAACAGCTTTTCTCGCTTTTCGAGAAACCTCAACTCGATCTCGCTGGAGTTCCGCAAATCCTGGCACTTCTGACATCCACGCGCAATGATACAGATGATCATAGACACATTACAGCTGCACACCCACCAATATACATGATGCGTCCGAAGCATTGCTCGGAGCTTTCTTGCTCACCTCTATAGGTACAAGGCTCACGAACTGTTCACTTGTCTTACTTCTCAGGCCCGGGTTCCCTGTGAAGCTCGCGTAGTCGGCGGTAAACAAGGAGCGACCTTCGATTGGCACGCCATTGACGCCGCCATTGGTTACGCGCACGAGTGAGTTATTGTGGAAGTCTGCGTGGTAGAGCTGTTCCAGCCACCAGCTGTTGTTTGTGTCGATTGCGGTGATTTTGTTATCACTCAGAGAGACGTACGCCAGGTTGGGAAAGGACCACTTTGGATCCAACACGAACAGACCACTGCTCGAAAACTGCACAGGACAACACAGACAGCGATACTTGCGTGTGCTTAGGGGGGGAGAGGGGGAGACCGAACGCGACGAGTTCATGCTGATTCGCTCCAAATCGTTTCTGTCGAATGCGAAGAAGGCATCGCATCTCAATGGGCCGTGCAGACTGCAATTCGATGCGTCCAGATTCACCAGACTATCACACGTTCCAAAGAGACAAGCAGGCAATTGTCAGAGCGCCAGTATTGCGTGACTACCTTGTCTGCCACTTGAGGGGCATGAAAAACTCGGTCACGTCAACGTTGATGGGGTTGTTGGAGATGTCGAGGTTAGCCAGGGACCCCCAGTCGGGCGGGGGCTCGCCGTGCAGCAAATCACTAAAATGTTCATCCCCTGCCACTCGTTTGTCGTATTGACGGAAGCGCAGAGATATACAGAAATTCGTTTCCTACCATAATGATTCCTTCATCATGTGGGGAACATCACCTCACCGATATGCCAAATATTGCAGAACCCGGGCGGTGTGCCTCCCCAATTGGGCCACTGGCTGATGTGGTTGTTAGCTAGGTAGAGTCCCCAGAGGTTGGGCATTGAGCGGAAGCCCTCCGGCAGGGCGGTAAACAAGTTGTCTCTCAAACTCAATATCTGCAACCTGATCCATGCACACATCGATGCCCACTCACACACCTAGGCACCATCTTTCTCAAACTGGTGTCTGTCCTCCTTACGATTGTGGCACGGAGCCGTTGCCGGCGAAGCCCGTGATGAGGTTGCCGTCAAGGTCGGCCACCCGGAGGTTTCGAAAGACAGACAGATCGATGGACCCATTAAGACGGTTTAAGGCGAGGTCCAGCCTTCGAAGGCTCCTGTACCCCGGACCACTTGGGTCGCGATCCACTAAAGCCACCAACCTGACACACACGCCAGAATTTCGCATGTTTGCATATAGGCATGTACACGGCGTCCGTACTGGTTGTTCTCTGCATGAACTTCGGTGAGATTCACAAAGCTCTGAAAGCCGACGGGCAGATGGCCTTTGAACTGAAACACACACATAACTATTCGGCGAATCGCACCCCCTCCCACCTCTCTTGCTTCTCCCCGAGTTGTTGTTTAGCCAGAGCATTCTGAGCGAGATGAGGTTGCTGAGCGGCTCCAGGGTGCCGCTGAAGTCATTGTCACTTAAATCCAGGTACTCAACCGACCTCCAGCCCCCCAGAGTATCCGGCAGGGCGCCCGAGAACTGCACAGACAAACATTGTCACGAGAATGTGCCTATGTAGATATGTCTGTATAGCCAGCCAAACTTCCCGCAAATTGGCCAGCTTTCCCAGCTCTGCTGGCAAGGGGCCGCTGAAGCCCGGTGACTGATCCTGCAGCCACAGAGACGTCAGATTGCCCGCGTTCCCCAAGGAAGGCGGCAGTGGACCGGAGAACTGATAGGAGAGAGATATGAGTAGACTCAACGGCAACTTGCATACATATGTGAGTCTTACGTTATTGCGTGACAATTTGAGAAGGTGCAGATCGTCCATATTGGTGCCAAGCCCGTCCGGCAACAAGCCACTGAACCCATTGTTTTCCAGAAACAGCTGCCGTAGTTGCGTCAGCCGCACTAGTGACCGAGGCAGCTCGCCGCTGAAACCCGACCTCTCCGCGTACAGGTACGTGAGATTGCCAGCATTGCCCAGGGAAGCCGGCAGGGGACCGGAAAACTGAGATACACATTGATGGACACACACATACACAGAGTAGGTGTCTTTGGAACACACGTGGGTCTGTTGATAACGTCCTGCTTACGTTGTTGAACGATACATCTAGATATTCTAGGCTGTCCATGTTGATGCCAAAGTCTTCCGGTAATGGGCCACTGAACTCATTCTTCTCCAGAGTAAGCCATCGCAGCCGACTTAGCCGCACCAGTGACCAAGGCAGCTGCCCATCCAGCCGATTATTCCTCAGATCCAGCAACTCTACGTGAAACAGGGAGCCCAGATCGCCAGGCAGAGAACCCACCAGGCCATTGCGGTCGAAGTCAACGTGGGTCAGATTGCGGCAAGACGTCACACTCGCTGGAAAAGGCCCCTCCATCTGTCTGTTTCTCGAAATCAGTAGGATTCGCAGGCGTCGGAGGCTGCCGATGTCTTCAGGTATGGGCCCTGAGAGGCCTGTCATTCCAAGCACGAGGACCTCGAGGCGCGACAGATTGGTGACGGAGGCCGGGATGGGACCGCTGATTGAGATCATCTCTCTCCAAATGTGCAGCCCTTTCAGGTAAGGCAACTCGCCAATGGTAGTGGGAAGCGGCCCCTCCACGCCCTTCTGGCATGACAAGCACACAAACGAGCATGCAGGTGAATGAATATACGTTTCAGATGCAGATCACCACGGCGTTCAGGTAGAAAACGCGCAAAGAGGTCACTTTGGCGATGTCATCATCTAAGCGCCCCTGCATAGGTAGCTCATAGGCCCAGAAACATACCACATGACGCAGCCGATAAAACGCCTCTGAGAAGACCAAAGGCGCCGCCTGTCGCTGTTGCAGGATCTGTGGCACATCTGATATCTCCCTGTCCTCGGCAGTTCCCGTCAGGCCGATGATGTAGCCCTTCGCGGGCCGCCATCCGCCAGCGCCTCGCTCAGCCGTACACACGTGATGAAGGGGACGACGCACAGGTTGTCCTCAAAGATGGACTTTGTCTCGTTGGGAACCAACCCAGCCTCGTAAGACCACTCGAACAGAGCCGCCGCATCCTCTTGACACGAATCGCACCGCACAAGCTCCTCCATCTCAGTGTAGGGAAGGATGTTGTACCCTCCCTCATCATTAGCCGGTTGCAAGACACGATAGAGCTGCAAGAGCTTCAGCCGCCTGCGATCACGCCAGCCTGGAGGGAGGGGCGGCAGCGCCGAGGGCTGGAGGGGCGAGGACGCCACGGACGACGATAAGAGGGCAAGGAAGACGACGAGAAGGACGACCGCCGGAGGCATCACCATGAAGACGAACGGTCAGTGCAATTACTCATCACTCACGCCTGCACGCATCTTGCGATCAGTGGTGCATCTCCCATCGTCAATGGTGTCAGACAGGAACCGTGGCCAATCCCATCCTCTCCAGAGCTGTCGTCGCTGCGATGGGCAACAGGTGATAACAGTAGGCGGTGTGCATGCCATTCAACTCAAAAGATCATGGGGAGATCTTGCCATTCAAGCTCGCGAAGCTCCTCCTCTGAAACCGCTGCTGCTCCTCTCTGCCTTCAAGTAGCTGCGGTTGGTCTGGACAACGAAGAGAGAGAAATATGCACAAGCAGGTACGTTGAAGCAGGCACGCTTCGCAGCTGCGCATCATCTCTGTGTCTGCCTGTGTGTGTGCATGCAGCCGACGGAGGCCAACCAGGTGCTGGTCAAGATGAAGGCCACAACGCTGAATCCAATAGATATAGGTGCAGATCGACACAAACAGAACTGCAACTGTGGCCCGACTCTCTCGGGGACAGAGAAAGGTCACAGCTGTCTTCCTTGCACGTCTGATGCAGGTGCGTCACCGATGGAGGTGGTGCCGTCGGAGCTCCCGACTGCCCGCAAAGGATAGTATCTGGCGTGAAAGTGTGTGTTTTTGTGTATGTGTGCGTGTGTGTGTGTGTGTGTGTGTGTCACACGGGCGCTGAGGATGGTGCTGGCATGTTCGCCTGATTGAGAGTTTGTCGATTGGCACAGTTCACTTCATGAGAGACGACAGACTCTGCCTGACTAACAAAAGTCCGCTTGAGAGGATTCCGAATTCGCATTTGCCGTAACCTTCATCGACTTTGCCGCGGCATTCAAGAATTCAGTCCTATATGAAACACCAAGCCCCCGAAGCACCTCCTCCCCCGTACAGACAGTAGCTAGTCGCACGCACAAGGGCGATTTTGTCACTCTTGCAGAGAAATTGCATATGCGCACATACATAGAGAGGCAACGTCCGTACGTACGTACACGAGTGCAGCGAGAGACACGTACGTACACATGGGCAGATACACACAGGCGTGCTCTGCACGTCACGTGCAGTCATGCAGCGAGCGTGCTGTACGAGACGCCACGCCAGCGAACATGGGCGCTACTTTCCCACAAACAAACCTCTACTCTGGCCAGATAGACACACACACAGCTGCAGAGGCAGAGACACACCCTGGACTGCCTACCATACACAGTAACAGCTACCTCTCTGTACGCTTTTGAACAACCGAACACTTGTCCAGGCAGACTACAAGAGTCTATGCTCTCTACCGACTGACTCACCGAAAAATGCGTATACTGCCTGCACAGTGTGTGTGTGTGTCATTCATATCTCGCCTATAGAGCCGACGGAGAGCCGCTGCAGCTGACCGATGGACGCTCTTCTCCCTCGATTGGTCGTGTTCTCGTCCTCCGAACTCAACTCACTCGCTGACCGCTCTACCTCCTCTTCCGCATACGAGTCCTTTTTCTTGGCCCCGCTGATTTTGTCACTGACCAGAGACCTCCTCCGGACTGTGCTCTGGGGTTGTTGCTGCGGGGGGATATAAGGGAAATTGGAGACAGAGGGCATGTAGATGAATATGCTGTCGAAGAGAGGGGTGTATTTGGAGACGATGAGGACGACAGAAATCGACAAAATGTTCAGGGAAGGGAAGAGGAGCAAACTGCATCCAACCAACAAAGGCGGGGATAATACCGTGTTGACACATACACCTCGTGTGCGGGCTGCTGACTGACTGACCGGTAAGCGCCACCAAGAAGTGAGGCCCACATCCACTGACCGATCAACACATCTTGCTGGTTCTGCAACACATACATAGAAAGAGAGAGAGGAGGGTTCACTGGGCTGTGCACGCAGTTTGCACATGATAGCCGGTATGTATCCATTTGCATAAGGCGGGCACACTCACGACATGACATAGATAGCGCCTTATCGGTTTGCTTACCGAAATAAACAGGACATTCCATCCAACACACGCGACATTCCACGATGTCCAGAGCGCCCAGCCAATCAAGTCCATCACCCTCCAAAGGTGAATCTGCATTTCCTTCTCTGCAGCAGACATCTCATCCTGCAAGAGAACCGAGACATACGCGAGCACACACGTATCTCTCTTTCTCCGTTCTTTCCTCACTTCAATCACAAATCTCTCGAAGAGCGCATAGATGACGAAGCCGACAGCGGAGGCGATGACAAAGGACAACACCGACACAGTCACCGTGGCAGCGGACGGCAGATGCTTCACTGTGGGAGAGTTACACGCGCGGGACAAGTGGAGGAAGCTCGAGTCGACATACGGGTCAATCTGGTGTCCGATAATATGGACGGTGGCGCAATTGGACCAGAAGAAGAGGGAAGAGATGGTGATCATGCCTATCAAAGATGCTTCCAACGCCCCAAAGCGCTGAGCACGAGTGGAAAAGGGGTTGTATGTAAGCCTGCAACAGGCAAGAGACACATTGCAGACACGCTTCTTGTCGTCCGCTCACGAGGATAGCAGGGGATGATCCCTCTTCGCAACTTGCGTGAGAATCTTCCTATTTCTCCACCGCTGGTATTGTAATCGATCAGCAGCGGCCTTTGCCTGACAGAAGGCACAGCACTGCTTTCACGTCTCCCCAATACTGTCTCTCTTTGCGTCATCACCAGTGGCGTGTTGGTCTTGCCACCGTCAGAGGCCACAGAGGGCCGCTGCGACTCGGTGCCCGTGTAGAAGCTCCTGATGGTATCACGTATCTGTTTCTGCAGCGCCCCCTCCTGGCCATCTGATATTTGTTGGGACTTCAGGTAGGCGATGACGCGGCTAAAGGACTCGGCAGTGAGGGGATCGGTGAATGTCAGCTGGTGAGACAGAGAGAGCAGAAAACACGGATCTCGTTTCAGCATATACGCCCTTACTCTCATGGTGCCGAGGAAGACGGCCGTCTCCTCAAGTGTCGGTTCTGACATGTCCTCCACGAAGTAGCCGTGGGTCAGGTCTGAATCGTCCGAGGCCACATTGAGCACCTGAACCAAAAGAATCGTGCCTGTCTCCGCATATTGGAGGACCAGTTGGGCTTACCAATCCGTCATGAGTCCACCAGATGTGTGCGCATTGATCATTGACCATGCAGAAGCAGGCCGAACACACCACTGGGCCATCAAGAGAGAAGGCGCTTGCTGCTTTTTCCTCAGCCTCAGCTTCTCCCGCATAGCTCTCTAACAGGATTTTCCTCGCCTCTTTCGCCGCACGGATGACTTGGGCCACCGCTGCTCCGCCGCTGGGGACCAACGTTACGTGCGGGTCCTGCTGCGCTTCGGTCATCTCATGGACGGAGGGTGGAGTGGAGGAGAACACCGACGGCTTCAGCTGCTCATCACTTTGGGAGGCAAGTGGGATCAAGAGGCTGTCCTGCTTGACAGATGTCTCTTGAAACGGTTCTGGCGGAGCCATCGAGCAGCTAGCTAAGATGTTAGATGTTTGATCCTCGCTGGCTCGGCCCATCAGCAGGTCTCTGTCGTTGTTGGTCGGCTGGAGGGACAGCAGCAGGGTGTGGTCTCGGTCGTACAGTGACACCGCATGTTGATCCTGCTCGATTGTGTGAATGTCGTCGAGCTCTATCGCCTTGAGTGGCTGCAAAAGCAAGCAAGCATGAAAGGCAAGATTGAACAGGCAATGATGATCAGCGGCTATGGCTCACTCCATTGGTGTCGATCAAGTGACGCCACTGACCAAACACAGCATAGAGAAAAGCCATAGCAGACTCATGTTGTATGCTCGTCTGCTTCGCCCACCTTCCTGTCTGTAAAGTGGCTCGCGGGATGGAGGAAGATTACGTGCTCCAACGTCCACATGTAGAAGGGCTCCTGTGTCTCCTCTCTCAACACAAACACACTCACAGCCGCGGGCGGGGGCACCGAAATGTCGCTCTGGTGGGGAAGTTGGATATCTTCTATCTCTGGTTTCCTCGCTTCCTGCCGCGAATGCCGTCTTGCCTGCGGTGGGGTGTTTGTCTTCATCTTTTCCGATTTTTGTGCGTGGTCGATGGATATCTGGCTCGGCATGAGAAGAACATCGAGCTGCTCCAACCGGTGCTCCTCTCTCTTCTGCTTGTTGGACAGCCGCTGGTGTCTCTTGGTCCCCACGGTGGCTCGAGACAGCCGCACGGCAGTCTTGCTGTGCCTTTGCTGCTCAATCTCCTTCAGGACCGCCAAAGTGAAAACATCTGCTTTCTCATGTCCGCCTTTCCTTCGCGACTCTCGGATGGCCACCAGAGCATCTTTGATCGCCGACGGATGGTCCCCTGAGTCCGATTGCTTCTTTCGTGCTCTTACTGGCCAAAGAATGTTGCACAGAAGGAAGAGCGGCAGCAAGGGTAGGATGACGAGTCGCGATGTTGTCAGGTAGAGAGGACCGATGCTGCAGCACCCCTGCCACGACAACCATATAAGCAGCTGCTTTGTTTGTGTTCTCTGTGCCCAGTGCACGTCGACACGTACTTACCAGAAATCTGACTTCAGGCATCAGAACACAGATACCACTTGAGAAGTTTTTCCTCCTCTCGAAGGTGTCATGGAAAAAGAATGGATGTCGATCCTTCGTCGGCAGCCAATCATTTCGATCCTGTATGCGCATATGCGAAGAGACATATGTGTACATATAATTGTGTATCCCCAGACACATCTAAACTAGTTATTCACCCGCAGCAGCAGCGCCATAACAGGGACAATTAGAAAGGCGCAGGAAAGGGCGACGAACAAGAGGCCGATGTTGCCTGTCGACATAAGCGGTCGATGCATGAATGTATACAAGTGTACATATACTCTTTGGCCCAGCGTACCCGCCTTGAGCATAGCCAGCAGAGCTGCCGGGTCGAAGATAATCGATGGATTCGAAGCGCCGCTTGGCCTCTGGGTAGGCACAGGCACAAATATTGCAGCTGCGAAGGTCGAAAGATGACTACACGAACACTGGCAGAAACAGAACGCGAAGGTGTCCGCTATTTTGTTTGTCAATGCAGGTGCAGAACGGACCTCAATCGATTCATTAGCCGCCGACGCGTCGCAATGAGCATCGACGTACTGCTCGGCTTGTTCATCCCACTGCATGCAGAATGGTTGTCCTCTCCTAACTTGAGCAGTCGAGTTTCCGCAAGGAAATGTCAACACCACCGAGGCGTTGCCCAAGTCGTGTAGTTTGGTCTTGTTTCTCCACAGGTCCACGGTGATGGCTGTATCGAGAACCAAGGCGTCTGCAGGGGTGTGTTTCGCCGAATACGGGTTTGTGGGGAGCTCCATTATTATGGCATGGGTAGCATGAGTCAAGCTTGGAGGAGACAGGAAGACGCGTCTCTACAGACAAAAGCCCATATCGCAAAGTCATTGTCTGGGTACAATCGTCTGAGTGTGTTTCAGTCTGTGCCTTACTCATTCCATGCCTCACCCTCTTGATGCCGCTCGTCTTGTTGTCCTCTTTCAGAACCATGCATTTGATCGAAAAGTTACCGTCTGTATGCTCGTATTCTAATGAGTAATCCCTACACACACACACAGACGACACACACGTACGTACGTTCCAGTGTGAAGGTGTGTCGTACCCCTTACCTGGCGAGTGTACTGATATCTTCGTACACCGTGTTCTGCAGCGGATCAAAAAGCACAGAGGAATGATTGACAGGCCACATTCTTCCTTTACCATGAGGGACAATACGTTAGTGGCATCAGTTCCATTGCCATCTTTGGCATCAGTAGCATTGTTAAAGACTTTTTCCACAACGGCATTCATCACATGAGCCGATATTTTCAGCTGAAGCTTGGCGCTGGTGTGGTCAGTCGGCGCAATGATACTTGTCAGCTTGCCAAGGAAATCCACCAGCTCATCTTGTTCAAAGTCGCTCTCGGCAGCCTTAACAGCAAGGTCCTGCAACTGTTGGGCGACAAGGATCTGACCGTCTGGTTGGCTATGTTGGGGAGTGGCCGAATCAAGAATCTCGTCCAGCTCTTTCACAAGCTCTTGACCGCTTGCAGCTTCTGGCATAATTGTCGTTGTATGTGAGGAGATGTTAATAAAATTCGGTGTACTTGTTGTGCTCTGTGGAATCTCTGCCGATGTCGAGCTGCTATCCTGTGGCAGGGTAGTCGCACTGGGCAAACTAATCGTGCCGGGCAAGATGATTGTGCTGGGCTGAGTAGTAGTGGTTAGGTCAGGAAAAGGGTCAGCGAGATCAGAGGAAGTCTCAATTGGAGCAGAGGGACTTGTGGCTGCCGGCGGCGTGCTTGTAGTCGAAGGATCATCGGTAGAAGTCCATAGAGCTGTTGTGCCCTGTGGGATATCCGAAGATGTCAAAATACTTGTAGTTTCTGGCAGAGCAGTTGTTGAGAAGGCCTGAGCAGAAGTCGGTCCACTTGTTGTGCTCTGTGGGATCTCGGACGATGTCGAAGTTGTATCTTGTGGCATCAGTATGCTGGTCGTGGTGGGTGTGGAAGTGGTCGTGGTTGCGATGGGCAAGGCGGTTGTGGTGAGCATGGAGGTAGTCGTGGTGGGTATTATGGTCGTGGCGAGTAAGGTAGTTGTCTCGGGCATGGGGGTAGTCGTGGTGGGTGTTATGGTCGTGGCAAGTAGTGTAGTTGCCTCCGGCATGGGGGTCGCGCTGAGAAATGAGGGATTTCGGAATATATTCAGCCGTCTATTTCCCATTCATGAAGTTCACCTTGCAGGACTGGATTCAGATGTGACAGTGGAGACAACGGGAGGCATAGATGTTGTGACCTATAATTCAGGGACAGACAGACATTTAAAAGATGTACCGAGCTCTTCTCTCAGCACCATAAGGTACCATAGGCGTCGGCGTCGTGGAAGAGACGACAGGTGTGGGAGATGGAGCGACTGCATGCGCACACATCCCAATAGCATAGTAGGCAGGCAAATGCGAAGCCAGGACGCACTACGTGTGTCCATGCAGAGGGCGTGGGCTGCGTGTACCGTAGGCGTATTGAAATGTGAAGTTGGTGTTAGAATTTGGGTTGCCATACGCGTCCTGCGCATTAGTGACATGTGTGAGACAGTGTTTCATGTCTGCAGGTGCGCATAAGACGTGCAATGTACCTGCACAATGCCCTGCATGACGGTCAGCTGCATATAGGTCACGTTCTCGTCGCCATTTGGCGGGTCAGGCACAATCTCGGCTTCATAGAGCGTGTCATTGCCAGCCACCGGCCTGCACACATGAACACTGGCCACACTCATGTGACGATAGGTTTGTATATACCTCATGTCAGTCAAAGTGCCGTTGGTCACGTTAGACTGCTGATCGGCCGTCGCAAAGCCAGCTGACACGGGCTCGCCGAAATCGATTGTCAGATCGGCGTGTCGTTGTAGATGGGAAGAGGATTCACGATGGATGCCACAGGCAGGTGCGCTTTGTAGTAGCAGAAACGGGTGGAATCTCCATCAGCCGAGCCAATTAGTGAATAATACAGGCGACACTCGGGAGCGTGATCTTTTCTTGTGTGCTCCATGCCAGTACAACGCCTGCATGGACATGTCTCTCAATTATTGGTGATGTGTCAGCTTCAACGGATGTACCTGTCTTGAAAGCACTCTTCTGAGCACCACATTCGCCTTTTCCAGTCAGCATCACCGATGTCCCAGGAGCTCACATCTGCGAGGGCGAACAGCGGCACCTCGTCACCATGGCGACACGAACCCGTGATCCTGTTTACTGCACAAACACATCTGTAATGATTATCATCTTTCGTGACGCGTATGATTTGTAATTGTCTGCCGTGACATGTATGTGTGTGCGACATACATGCAGTCGATGCAGTGCCGTTCTCTTTCTTCTGGACGCACGTTGCGTTGGGCGAGGGGGTCGATGCGGGAGTAGCGACGCTGTGATGTATTTCGCAGATCCTCGCGCTGTCCGTCTGCACCCACACGAAGAGATGTATGCGTGTGCGTCCCTGCTTGCATAGGTACAAGGGCCTCACACGCAGCTCAAAGCCTGAGCAACAGGGGTGTGCCAGGCGCAGCGCAGCGCATTCTTGCTTCCTGTCTTCTGTGTCTACCTCAGGAATGGTCGGATCCAACGTGACGCCATGAAGTGGGATACCGTCTGTATACCTGCACACATCTTAGCTGTGTGTCCGACGAGAGAGCATCCTCTGTGTCTACGGCCCACTCGAAATATCTGCCCCCTGGCGGGTTGCCGGTCCCTCCATCATTTTCACAGGTAGTATTTGGGAACTCTTCTGCACACAGACACACATGAAGGCGTCGCATGTTGTGAGGCTCGCCTCCTTTCAAAGCGTTCCGTACTGAAATGGAAGTCCCACTCTGAGTCTGTGGCGTTGCCTGCAGTGCAAATGACACGACAAGGCGCCACAGCAACGCGGGGGGGGAGATGAATTGTTTGCTTGTCTTCGAAGCTGCTTACATGTCGTCCACAGCCCAATCAAGAGAACGACGAAATTTGATGCGGGAAAGGAGTGCATTTTCGGTCGAGGATGAAGGCAAGCTCGCTGTGGGCGACGAAAAAGGAGAGGAGATCTGCAGCCTGCTTGTAATTGATGGATGAATCGCCTACGGAGGCGGCGGTTACATACGCGGATGACCAAGATCTGCAAGGCCATCTGCCTGCCTGTGCCGCCATCACGAACAGCGCTGATGCTCTGCTTCTTCCTTCTCTTGATCCTTCCCGCGTTGCAAGGCGAGAAGCCGCTGCGGTTCTCTCGGCCATCCGGCGTCATTGCATTTCTGCCTTCACACGCGAACGTGGCTCGGCAGCCGAGGCGGCGAGCGTCCCCTGCGGCTCGGCAGTCGGTGCAGGGAACCAAGTGGAGGGACCGGGCAGCCCTGTTGCCGGATTTTATGAGAGGATTCCTTGACAGCAACGGCATCGCATATGTGTTTGACGAGGAGGAGTCTCCTCAGTCTGAGGAGCGCTATGTGAGGTTCCTGGATGCGGCTGAGGTGGACTTGGTGGACGTGAGCAGCGGGCAGAGGGCCAAGTCACTGGTAGGTGGCACGAAGTCATGTCGGTGCAGTCACATGCGACAGAGAGAGTGCGTATCGTATCGTGTGTGCAGGTGTTTGTAGTGGAGGAGTGGGGTATGTGTCCTGTGCTCATTGTGCTGGCGTCCCACCACCGCGTCGACCGTGACCGTCTTGGTAAGACACACAGCGACTGACAAATGATGCACACGCACACACGCGCTATGAGCAGACGGACACACATATGACTCATGCTTCTGTTTGCCCCTTGCCATGTGTGCAGCCTCTTATTTGTCTATCGCTCCCGAGAGCCTCAAGCTCGCCGACCCCCTGTATGCCGAGTACATCACTGGATGCAAGATGGGCCTTGTGCCGCCCTTCGGCCACCGGACCCCGCTGAGGACGCTCATCGACACCCGGCTGATGCAGGAGGCCTACGTATACGCGGGGGCGGCACACCCAGACCTCAGGATGCAACTGTCGCCAAAGTGAGCAACGAGGCGAATGACTGACCTAACAGCATCAATGCATGACACACTCATGAGCCCTCTGTGTTGTGTTCCAGGCTGCTGGCCGAGGTAACCCGCGCCGACATCCGTGACGTCATCCGTCGGCCCCCCTCCTCCTCCGTCCCCCATTCGGTGCCGCAAGCCACCGACAGCGGACCATACAGGTCACCACCGCCTCCCCCGCCACCAGCAGCACCAGGAGCGGCTCCAGAGGCAGCTCCAGTAGCAGAAGCTTCATCTAGCGATCCCGTTGACGATTTTCCCCGGCGGCCGCCTTTTCACCTGACACCACCACACTCTAGGGGGCAACAAGACGCAACACATGAGACTCAAGAGAGGGCAGAAACGCCGCCCGATCCGCCAGAGCTCGAGCGAGAGGAAGGGGCAGCGGTGCTGATGAGTGGCGTCAGTGGGGCTTTGGCGGTGTTCAGCACTCTCAGGAGTGAGAATGGGGGAGATGCAACTGTGGAGGACCACCCGTTTGTGGAGAGCAGCTCGTTCACTCTCCCTGCGAGCTCCTCGGCTGTCGGGCTGTGGACCGGCATGACGTTCACCCCACAGCACCCTCAGCAGCAGCAGCAGCAGCAGGGTGTGGTGAGTGCACCCACGGTGGTCAACGGGTTCGAGCCAGGTGACGGGAACACGACAGCGACCACGAGGATGGAGAGGGTGGCGCGGCTGCCTACGGTCGACGTGTTCTCAGAGACCATACACCTGGTCAGCCACTCACTCAAGCCACAGAAGCCATCCACTCATCCCAGCACGGTTGCATGGCCTCTTCCCTCCCTCCGTTTCTGCCTCCCATGGATGACACAGGTGGCTGTGGTGGCGTCCAAGCGGATGATGTCGAAACGTCTCGTGTTTGCGGAGCTGGTGCCGCCCCCCGACCCCTACGAGGACGACGCCCCCGCCAGCGAGCAGCTCTGCCACAGCCGCAAGGCATGGCGCAGCGTCAGGGACCCCAGCCAGTGCATGGAGGTGCAGCTTATTGTCGGACACACTCTCATCAGGTCAGGCGCGGCACACGAGGGACCCACAGACAGGCTTCAGATCAGTCGCACCTACATGTTGGTTTGCTTGTGGGGGCTCTTCAGGCGTCTGGGTGAGGACAGAGCAACTCAGCTGATGAGGTGAGCTGGTGGGTACAGACATCTGGCACACCCACACACACACAATGCTGCCTGTCCGTTCCCGCCGGTGCGTTGGTCAGGTCGCTCCGCCCAGGGCAGCGTGTGTACATCACGGGCATCCCCCGGTATCGTGACAGGGGGCAACAGCAGGACGGCCTCCCTGCGTCGTCCTCTCCAGCTCTCGACGTCATATGCGTCAGCTGCGAGATACTCAAAGACGTCGAAGCCGATCTGTCGGTCACGGATGAGGACGAACCTGTGACACCGGCAGACGAGGCACCACCCGTCTCATCCCCAGCCCCCGGTTCCATCCCCCGTGGACCCCCTGTCGTGCCAGCAGCAAGACGGCAGCAGCGGGCTCCGCAGCAGGAGTGGGGCCCAGCGGCAGCAGCAGCAAGGGCGGCTGCGGCAGCGAGGGCCGAGCGACAAGTGAAGAGCGAAGACCCCGACCTCTTGGCGGCGTTTGGTGGCCAGGGGTTCTTTGCCGACGCAGTGGCAGCGGACAGGGAAACTAGGGGCCTGGAGGAGGGTCAGGGACGGCCTCCACATGCCAATGCTCACGACCATCTGCAGCTGCCGATGCTGTTGCATGAGCAAAGCGGAGAGGATGAGTTCCTCACGCTGGGGCACCTGGGTCTCACGGACGATGCCGTCGTGGTCGTTGACAGCTTCCAGAAGCTGCGCCAGATGAGGGCCGACCTGCGAGCCGAGCGCAAAGAGGGGTTTCCTCTCGCCAACTTCACCAGCACCGGCACGCGGCACAGCGAGAGACACGCCAACGGCTTCCACGATGCAGACCAGATGGCGCCCTTCAACGACTCGCTCACACACACGGCCCTCCGGCTCCCCTCATGCGTCGGCTTCGACGCCGAGTGGCAGCCCACCTTCCTCACGCACAGCAAGCGGACGCCGATGCCCCCCGCTGTGCTATGGGACGCCCCCCAAGTGTCCGATTGGGTGCACGAGCACCGGATGGCCAACCCTGAGAGGGTTGCCGTCCTCAGCCTGGCGACGAGGGACAAGGCGTGGGTCATCGACATGCTATGGTGGTGCCGCGATAAGGCACAGGTGGAGCGAGATCGGGAGAGGGACCGGGAGAAGACGAGGCAGACCGAGGGAGAGGGTGCCGATGAGCCGCCGGTGCTGACTGAGCACCATGAGAGGGTGGACAGGCACATTGGGGTCGACCAGCAGCAGCGAGACGGCAACGGGGACTCGCCGTCCGGCGACGATCAGCAGCAGGAGGTAAGAAGCGAGTGGGCAGGACTACTGTGTGGGCGGGTGGCGTGATTGACGGCGGCTGTTGTGTGTGTCTTATTTTGTGTGCTGGATGTCAGGGTGTGACATTGACTGAGAGGGAGGCGGCGCTCGACAAGGTGCTGGGCGAGCTGTTCCGATCCTATGGCATCCTCAAAGTTGGCTACTCTTGCGCCGGAGACGTAAGGGCACCCACACACCAAGTGCTGCCTTTCTGTGGGCACATGTGTCTGTCTCCCTGTGTGGCAGGTCCGTCGTCTGGCGGCGTCTTATCCCCACATGTCGTGCTTCAAGCGGCTCAACAAACTGGTCGACCTTCACGAGCTGTCCAAGTGAGTGAAACACCGGCAGGCACCCAAGAGAACAAAGGAGCCAGCCGGCCGTGCATTCTCTCTCATCTCTCGGTTCATGTGCACGTGTGCAGGTCAGCGGCCAAGACTATTGGTCTGCCCAAGACGGCAATCAAAGGTCTGAAAGGCGCCTGCTGGTCCATCCTCGGCCACACTCTGGACAAGACGGAGCAGTGCTCTTCATGGGGATTCCGCCCGCTCAGTAAAGACCAGGTGCGCTACTCGGCCATCGACTCGCTGACGCTGCCCCATCTGTTCGACCGTCTGCTGCACCCGCACCTGCCGCACCATGTGCGTGAGAAGGCCGGGAGGGGGGAGGCCACACGGCTGCTCCCTGTTGACGAGAGGGTCACGCTGTTTGAGGAGTTCTGTTCGCGGCCGTCCCCGCTGCACATGCGCTACAGGGGGGGCCTCAAGGCTATCGCACCACACATCAAGGTATCTGAGCTGAGAGAGGCCGCCACAGCGCTGTGCAGGTGCAGACCGCGTGTTGTGGTGTATGTGGTGCTGCATCAGACGTTCCGTGTTCTGCCACATGAAGAGCAGGCGCCTGAGGAAAAGTCGGCTTCTGCCGTGAAGCCCAAGGCCACTCGCGGTCGGCCGAGGGCGGACCAACCGCCCAGCCAGGGCCTCCCCTCAGCTGCTGCGGCCGCGATGGGTGGCCGGAGAGTGCCAGTCACAGCTGGCGGCCAATGAGGAGAGAGGAAGGAACATGTGGATAAGGCAGAATGGCGAGGGGACTGAGTGGTTTATATACATACATCGGTGTGTGTGGGTGGATGCGAGACCGGCATATGCAGAGAGGTTTTGTGCGTAAGAGGCTGGGGGGGTGGAGGGTCGACAGCGCTGAATAAGTTTGTCGTGAGAATGTGGGGGAGAGGGAGTGTCATGACTAGGGAGGGAATGCTCGTGCAGAGGCAGGCTGTCACGGACGCCTCTGTCTTGATGGGTCTGTGTGTGTGGGTGCGAGTGAGTATGCAAAGGCAGGCAAAGAACGCATTTGTGACATCCTCTTTGTTCCGCTGAAGGACTTCTATCGCTCTCGTGGGTTGTGTTGCATCTACCTCGCATTGATTCACTAAGGCGACAAACAAGTGTAGTCGCATCAGGTGGTCAGTCAGGCACCCAAGTGGCATATTGATGTGTGTATGTGCATCGATGTCAAATCACAGAAGGAAGAACGAACGAGGCAAACAGACACCACACCTCTCCCGACCGCCACACATGGCGTGGCAGTCCATCCATCCATCTCGCTTGTCCGTACAGACAAACAGACAAGACAGACAGACCGCCAGACGTCATACCGGGGCTTAGTCGAACAGAGAGAAGCCCATGTCCTCGTCCTCCTCCTGAACACAGACACAGCGCACCAAACACATACCCGCCGTCACACACTGATCGGTTTGTCGTCTGTGGCTTGGTTGGTTGTGCTGCTTACCTCCTCCTCTTCCTTCTTCTCCTCCTTCTTCTCCTCAGCGGCCGCCTCGCCGCCGCCGGCAGCGGCCGCACCGCCCGCCGCTGCTGCCGCACCACCAGCACCAGCAGCGGCTGCACGTCAACGCGCACACAACGACAGAACCACACACATTCGAAGGAGAAACGACGGTGAGCGATGGGGTGTGGTGTGTGCCTACGTGCAGGTCCTCCGCCGGTGTTCATCATCATGGCGCTGATGTCCTTCCCCTCGAGGGCCCTCGCGAACAACATCGGCATGTAAGGCTCGACCTTGCCGCCCGCTGCAGCGATGAGCTTCTCAAGGTTCTCGCGCTGACACACGAGGGGAGAAGAGGAGGTGCTTTGTGCTGTGCTGTGTGGTGTTGTGGTGTTGTGTTGGTCACTCACCGTGATCTGGATGCCCTCTTCATAAAGAACGAGGGACGCGTAGGAGCACAGAAGCTCCTGACGGTCGGAGTCAGCTGACGCACACAGATCACAACACACACAGCCAAGATGAGGACCAACAGTGCCACACACGTCGCCCCAGCGAGCACACACGCCTCTCCCGACACCAAACGGCGCGAGGGAACGCGTGACGCACATCTACCCCCCCGCCTCTTCGGATCTTTGTGTGCGCTTACAGAGTGACGATGCGGGGACAGCAGCCATTGGAGCTTGGAGCCTCAAAAGCAGTTTAAGCTGTCGGTCGCAGCGGTTTCAGGGAGCACCCTAGGTGGCCTGACGGCCAAGTCCCCTGTCGGTCTGTCCAACATGAAACAGGCACCCTAACATGCAACCCGGACACGCAACACGCAGCACGCAGAGGGCAGATGCAGCAGAGAGGAGGATATGCAATGCGCTGCGAACGACGGCCACATACAAGCAGGCACACAGCGTCGCACACACGCCACCCCAGCAGCAGCTTGAAGGCGGCGTGCGTGCGTGCGTCAGGCACCATGACTCCATACGTAGATACCGCCCATCCCCATCCTTAAGCTGTCGGTCTCTCTGCGAGCTCGTGATCTGCGAGCTTAGCAGGGGGGAGGAAAGAAAAGACGGCTTGTCCTCTCCATCGTGCTTCCTCTCACCGTGAAGCCGGATCTTCCCCTGACAGCGACATTTCTGTCTGTCGTCCTGTCGGCCTTGCCGCATCCAGGTTGACTGGTCATTCAGCAGCATGTACAACGGGATAGGTCTGACGACCCCCCGGGGGTCGGGCACGAGTGGCTACGTGCAGCGCAACCTGTCGTACGTCCGCCCGAAGCCGACGGACTTCGACAAGAAGCTGGAGCTCGACAAGGAGGGCGTCAAGGTGCGCAAGCCCGACAAGGACATCCTGATGCACCAGAAGAAGCGCGAGATCGAGGCCGACCTCCTGGCCAGGCAGCTGCAGATGGAGAAGGATGGACGCGACAAGGACGAGGTCAGGGACTTCATCGAGCGGGAGAGGCGCAGGAGGTATGCGGCACTCGAGGCCATCGGGGTCGACACCAGGAAAATCGAGCAGAAACCTGTCGACGAGTGAGTAGGGCACACCACACACACAGGGGGAGACACACACAGACACGTGGGAATCACACGTGCTGCATCCATGTGTGTGTATGTGTGTGTGTATGTGTGTGTGTGTGTGGGTCGTCATCAGGATGACGACCCACGAGCAGCGTGCGCTGAAGGAGGAGCAGCTGCAGCGTCTGGCGGGTGCCTTCAAGCTCAGGTCCGACCACCAGCCGGGCCACGCCTTCAACCGAGACGCACAAGAGATGGAGAGGCTACAGCGCAAGCAGGCCAGGGAGGACAGGGAGGCCCGTGAGAAGGAGGAGGAGCGCATGCAGCGCAAACTCAGGGAGGGCGCCAGCAAGGACAAAGACAAGGACAAAGACAAGGACAAGGGCAAGCACAAGAAGCGCCGTAAGAGGGACGAGAGCAGCAGCTCCGAGAGCAGCTCATCCGAGAGCGAGTCGTCATCGGAGGAGTCCTCGAGCTCGTCAGATGAGTCGGACCGACGGCGGCGCAAGAGGCGGGACAACAAGAGGGGCCGGGAGGAGAAGGACAAAGACAAAGACAAGAACAAGGAGAAGGAGAAGGGCAAGGGCAAGGACAAGGGCAGGGACAAGGAGAGGGACAAGGAGAAGGAGCGGCACCACCCGGTCATCATCAAGGAGGAGGAGACGGACGAGAAGAATGGCGACACCGACGACCGCCGCAAGAGGGACGACGACAAGAGGTGAGGCCCGACACGCACGCACGCACGCACGCACAAATACCCACTACACGTAGACCAGAGGCTCGCTCGCTGAGCTTTTCCTCTCCTCTACAGGCGTCGTGATGACCGCGCCGACGAGACATCCCGACGCGATCGAGAGAAGGACCGCCCCGCACGCAGAGATCGCGAGAGGTGGGCAGACAGACGAACACACCACTGCAGGCATCATTGCTCTTATCTGCCTCTGTGTGACTGCAGGTCTCGCAGCCGAGACCTTGACGTTCGTCGACGGGACGACGATGAGGATGCGGGCAGGAAGGACCGCCGTGAGAGGAGGGAGGACGACGACCGACGCGCCGACGTGCGCCGAGGCCGTCGGGCTGACGACCATGACGACGACAAGGACCGCAGAGACCGCAGCCGCCGTGAGGAGAGGGAGGAGGGGGGCAGGCCGCCGAGGGATCGTTCAGGTGGTGAAGAGCGGCAGACGGCTATCCGCAAAGAGGCCGGCGGTCGTGACAATGCCACTGTGGATCGGGAGGAGCGGGCGCCCGAGAGGAAGAGGGAGAGGGAGAAGGACAGAGAAAAGGACAGAGAGAAGGACAGGGAGAGGGAGAAGGACAGAGAGAAGGACAGAGACGGGTAAGCTGCTGGCAAGGGAAGGGACACCACCAACCTGCTGGCGTGTGCACTCTTCCCTCTGTCTGCTGTGTGTGATCAGTCGACATGGCCCTGACAGCTACGACAGAAAGCGCGATCGGGATGACAGACGGTGAGTGACTAAAGAAGGCAGAACACGCTCCAGACTCTAACACACCTGTGTGTGTGCCCCAGTGAGCGTGATGCTGACACAGACGCCGACCGCGGAGAGCGGAGAGGGCGCCACGCTGACGAGGTGAGCAAGAGGAGGCAAGGGCTTTCACTCGTGTGTCCATGTCGCCCCTGTCTGCCTGTGTGCAGCGGGAGGGCGAGAGGGGCCGTCGCGACGATCGACGGGAGAGGCCCGACCGAGAGAGAGACAGAGAGGAGGACAGGGACACACGCGGCCGTGGCGGCAGAGGCAGGGAGGAGCGGCCTGAGGACGACGACGACACGCGCAAAAAGCACCAGGAGGTAATGTGACTTTCAGGGAGTCGCCGGCAAGCCAGGGATGCAAAATGTGTGTCCGTGTATGTGTGTTTTGTCAGCGTGGCCGCGACCGCCATGTGGACGAGAGGCGTCGGCTGGACGAGGGCGACCGGGACAGGGAGGACCGTCGTGACGACCGCACACGGCCCCATCATGATGACGACCACGTAAGCTGGAGACGATGAGTGATTGACCGAAGGGCGTGTGCCGCCCTATGTCATTGCTCGTTGTGTGCGTTGTTCCTTCATTGACCATTCAGCGTGATAGAGAGGACCGGCGCACACACGACCGACAGAAAGAAGATAGGCCGAAAGAGGTCAGCATAGCGCCCAGAAGCACCACACAGTCAATCCACACGCCTGTGTGTTTACCCGTTGGTCGTCAGGCTGACAGGCGAGACCGACATGCCCGTGAGGCCGACAAAGAGGCTGGTGGTGACAGGGTGAGGGAGAGCGACCGCGGCCGGCGTGAGAGGGAGCTGGAGAGGAAAGACGATGACCGCAGACGCCACCGTGACGACGAGGTAGGCAAGGCGACACAGCGGCAGACAGTGGAGGTCACAGTACACTCACTCACTGCTGGTTGCGTGTCTGTGTCGGGTGCCATGGATGCAGCGCGAGGATCGACACGAAGACCGTCGTGAGGACCGGCGGGAGCGCCCCAAGGAAGACCGCGGAGAGGACGTATGCTCACCCACACGCGCACATACACACCGTGTGACAGCATGAGTCTTCTTCCATCGTTCAGGATGAGCGTGAGGCAATGCGTGAGCGGGTGCGTGCGAGCCTGCGTGAGAGAGACCGCCGACCGAGGGACAGCCGTGACGACGAGGAGGACGAGAGGAAAAGGGAGAATGAGAGAGACAGGGAGAGGGAGAGGGAGGGGCCTCCCCGCCGCAACCGACTTGAGGATGACCGACACGACCGGCGTGACGGATCCGGCCGCACCAGAGACGATGACAAGGACAGGTACACCACCCCACCACACGCGTATATAGACACGCAGATGAATGGATCGATGGATGCTGTGTTGTGTGTGTGGCTGCAGGGATAGGGATGACGACCGCCGACGAGACCGAGACAGGGACAGGGAAAAGGAAAGAGAGCGTGACAACGACACAGTCACACGGAAGCGCTCGAGGGATGACGAGCACGGCGACGATGAGAGAATGCGACGCCGCGACCGTGACCGCGACCAGGATGATTATGATCGCCGCCGTGACCACCGCGAGGAGAGGAGACGCCCGCCGGCCGACGAGAACGACCGTAGCGAAGACGACAGAAGGTGGGTAAACACGCACAGCCGGCGGGACTGACCATGCCACTGTGTGCGTGGCTTTGTGTGTGCGCCTGTGCAGGAAGCGTCGCAGAAGGGATGAAGACGACTGAGTGTGCCGTGTCTGTCTGACTAATCGAAAGACCGATGATCGTTTTAAGAGCTGTCCGAGGGCCTGGGTGGGTAGCATGTATATGCGTGTCGTGAGTGTGACCGGTTCCACCGTGTGTGACACTGTGATTGCCGTGCTTTTCTTGCGTGCCTTGTGGCGCTTCCTCAAGTGCATGACGGTGACGTCACGGTCTGCGCAGGTGAGGCTGCGTGTACTGTGAGGGCACCGTGATGAGGGCGAGGAAGTGCCGAAGGCAGACATCGTGAACACGCACTTTCTGACGGAATCAACGATGCCATGCCATGATTTGCATGTCTGTGGACTCTGACATGTCGCCGTCCAGTCGGTATCCCAAATGAGATGAGGGACGAGTCATGTGAATCCCGTGTCACACCCGAGAGAGCGTACCCGCCTGAGTGTTTCCTGGCCGGCCGATGTAAAATCTGCGGTCGGTGATGGGCAGCAACGATTGTCTCTCATCGATTGCTGGAGATGTCGACTCCCTGCCGCAACAACCGTCACGATGGATGCACGAGGCCTAGGAATGTGCAGAGATCAGCACGAGATCTGTCTCAGCTGAAAAGGCAAGCACCAAAGGCTTGTCAGCCATCACCGACTGCAGATCTGTGTCGACCTACCCGTATCAGTCACCTCTTGATTAAACTTACCTGGCTGGGCCTCGGGGGCGCTCAAGAAGGTCCCTGTGCTGTCGTGGAGCTGCCATTGCATTCGGGCGTACGTGAAGCGGCATGGGGGGGCTATGCTCCTGCCAACAGCGGAATTTCTGGCAGAGCTGGCTTGCGTTCGCGCAGCCGGCAACAAAAATGTTCATGAAGAAAGTCTCTGGCTGAATGCATGGATCTCTTCTCGAAGCAACAGCAGACAGCGGCAAACCTGTCACATGCTGACTCAGCACCCCGCCACCCACTCAGCAAGACAAGCACCCAATACACATTCCTCACGCCCCTCTCCCATCGACTCGCGCCCGAGTGATGTCTTCAGGCAACTCACCATCTCCCTCAATGGTACAGCGCCCCGCGCTGTACATCGCGGGGCGCTGATGTGAGGAGACATGTGTTTTTGTTCCTACTCATGCCAAGTGATCGCTACAATTCAACGCGAAACTCACGATAAGTCTTTGCCTACGTCCGGTGTCTCATCCTCACGCAATGTCTCATTCCGTCACATTCCAACTGACCCGGCCCCCTCCCGTCCCCCCAACCCCCCCCCATCTCCCCTCTTGCGTTGTACGGACTTCGTACGGCTCAACCGGCTTGGCGCCCTTCCTAATTTCGGCACACTCACCCACTACAGTGCCGGAAAAGCCAACGCACGCACAGTGCAGACATGCACCGACAACGAACGACTGGCTGACCCTGACTGATCCGAAGCACATGCATATGTACGGGTGTTTGGAGGTATCAGACGGACAAATACAATACGAGACAGCCAGACAGACAGACAGGCAGACAGTCAGATAATCCACTGAATCCATGCATCATGACGCCATGCAGAGATGTGGGCAGTCCGCTCGTTGAGTAAAGTGACTGGTCATAGACTGACTGACCCACCGGCAAGATCACGAGGAAAGTAACATTGCATACATGTGATTTCGCTCAGGCAGGGGGCATGACAGGCAGTAAGTCATAGAGATCAGTTTAGTCCCGGCCGCCTCTGAAGTCCTTCAGGGCTTGTTCGAGCATGCTCATGAAGCCGTTCTCACGCTCCGACTGATTGTCGGCGAGCTTCTTCTCAAGAGCCTCGAGACGCTCCTGCTGCGACTTGACGCGCTCCTGAAGCTGCTGGATCACGACAGTCTGGACGGAATTCATGTAATCCATGTCGACGTAGAAGACGTCTGTCTCGTTGTTGCCGCTCTGAGGGTCCGACGTCACGGCCTCTGAAGGAGAAAAGACATCAAAGATGGATCATACTGGTGGCCTGCCGAGTTGCAGCTCTCACCCACCGGGAAACACTCGCTGCAGGTCGCGGGCCGTCACCTCTATATAGACAGGCAAACGTAAGCGAACATAGGTGGGCGCGTAAGTCACCTGGACTTACTTACCGATGTGTTCTTTCTCTAGTTCCTCCTGGGTGCTCATCGCCATCTCCTCCTCCTCCTCAGGGGCCAATTGGAACGACGTTAGACCCAGCTTGGCGAACTGAACACGAACAGAAAAGTGACATAACCGACCGCTCTTTGCCAAATAC